TAGTAATTGTACTATCTACTTAACATTACAAATACTCGTACATTTTACAATATATTACACAAATGTCATTACTTTTATATCACAAAATACTAATAAGGTTATTTTAGTCATTTATATTTTATTCCTAATATATCCCAATATAATAGTAATATTTCTAAAACCCCGTGCAAAAAGCAAATTAATACATAGTTATGAGACGGATGGAGTATATTTTTTTAGTAATTTGCCCCTCCTATTTTTTATTTTATAATGTAAAAAATTCTAAAATTTTTGTCTGTTTGTAGATTTATATTTTTAGCCTTCAAATTTTATTTTTTATAATAAAAAAATATTGAATTTTATGTAGTTTTGTTGAAATTTTTTTCAAAATATTTAAACTTTTTCAATTTTTTTTTTTTTTTTTTTTTTTTTTTGCCTGGATGTGCTATGAATTGAAAAATAAAATAAAAACAACATTGAATCGATAAAGAAAAACGATATTTGCTCCCCCAAATTTTTACTGCTGATTCCGTCACTGGTAATATTGTATGATGTTGAGATAATAATATTTCTTTTTTATTTATGTATTGTATTTATATTATATTAAAATATATAGTGTGCTATTTGTAATAATATTATCTGTTGTCTAATAGCACACGATGTGTTATTCAAGCGCTGAAGCCACAGCTCTATAAATAAATACATATATATAATATATATATATATCAGCATCGCTATCGGTATCAGCATCACAACTTTTTTTCATTACCTACAATCCAGTCCAATCGACTCCAACAAAATTGTTTTATTATTTTTGTTTATTTTTTTGGGTTAAAAATATCCAAGAAAAATTGTATTCTGGACAAGTGCTGTTGTGTTGTCAGGGCCACAACAATTCTAACTAATTAATTTAATTTAATTAAATTAGTTATTTTTATTCCACTGACAGTTACCTAACTGCAATTAATTAATTAATATATGTATTGATCGGACAGTGGGTATCGGTAGACCTGAGTCTTAATTTGACCACGTCAAAATATAGAATTTTGAAACTTTAGCCGGCTATTTTAAAATTTAAAATTTTGGAAATATAAAATTTAAAAAAATTACATTTGTTTTTTTTTTTGTTAAAAAAATAAAATAAAATACTTTCTCCGTTTATTTTCTAATATTCTATTTGATATTTACACACATTTTTAGACAATTAGAGTTTTTATTATAAAATGACAAATTTGTCTTTAATCTTATGTATAGAAAATGAAAGAGTAAATAAAGTAAGGGTAAAAGAATAAATTTTGTGTATAAAAATAGAAATAGGACAATAATTGTTGGACATTTCAAATAGGAAAGTAGGACGTTAGTTTATGGACGGAGGGAGTAATATAAAGCGAATAGTTCCTCAGTCAAAGTGACTTGTTACTCCCTCCGTCTCATATTGGATGTTTGGGTTACTGTAGACACGAGAATTTAATATAAGTATAATTAATAAATAATTAAGAATGTATTAGTGAAAATAATTATCCTATAATATAAATAATTATAGATTAATGTTAAGATAACTAATTAATTTAATTAAAATTAAAAAAATTAAATTAAAAAATTTAAAATGAGATTAAAGTGTATAATCATTTTCCAAAAAAAGAAAGTGACATGGGATGTGGAACGGACAGAAACGATAATGTGGACATGGTAGGTGGGACGGAGGGAGTACAATATACGAACATTGAATTAAAAAATAATACTCCCTCGGTCCCAGTTCGGTCCCATAACTATAGTCTGAGTTGTATTTGGCACGAGATTTAAAGAATATTGATATTATATTGATAGTGGGTAAAAAAGTACGAGTAAAAGACCTTTTTGCCCTTATAAGTGTACTAGTGTAAAAAGTAGTGACAATTGTATAATAATAATGAAAAAATAAGGGTAGTTTTATAGTGATGGTTATTTATGGAAATGAGACTAATGTTTTGAAACTGAAAAAAATAGTAAAGAACTATTGTATTGGGACGGAGGGAGTAATATTTTAATATAAAATAAAGTGAGTGAAAAATAAAATGAGAGTTATTAAAAAAAAATTATTAAGAAATTAATACAAAGTAGTAGGATAAGTCGAGAATTACTGACAATTTAATTATTTTTCTTTTGGTTAAAGTAAAAATAATAAAATAGTAAATTGATAAAATTATTTAATATAAATTAATTATATATAAATTTAGTAAACAATCGAAAAAGAAATACAACAAAATTATCTAGCACAGATCGTTTATTTAATTAATATATATATATATTTAAATCCATATATTTGATGTATTATTTTATTTAGTTTTAAATTGGTCTAAAGTATAAGTATGGATGAAAACCAAAATTGACTCGATTAATATAATAATATGTAAATGGTATTTAAGAAGAAATAATTTATATCAACGTAATTATTTTAAACATTTTTTTGTTGCATTTGATTTTTTTTATTTGTAATAATTTTAATATAATGTAACAAAAAATGTTTAATGTAATTAAATTTAATTTAAATATATGTTGAATGATTCACAAAAGAATACTTTTTTGTACCACTTTATATGTCCAGTTTTATGTAAATATAAGAAATTAGATAAAATATAATTAATAATAATTTAAAATATATTAGTAAAAATAATTATTATATAATATAAATAATTATAATTAAATCGACAAATTATGGGGGGCAACCATAAGTAGAAATATTGAATAAATTATGTGAGAGGTAAGGAATATATAACAAACTCTTTAATTTATATTTCCTCCGTCCGCCAAATTTATTCTCACTCTTTTTTTCAGTCCGTCCACTAAATTTATCTCATTACTAATTTTGGCAAAGTCAAACATTTAATTATTACCCTCAATGCAACAGTTATTTACAACAAATACCACTAACTTTATTACATTATCTCTTCATTTACTTTACTTTTTAACTAAATTTTCAAAAATATCATCAACTACCTATCACTTTTTCAATAAAATATTCATTATTTTTAATTCCCGTGCGGAGCCAAAATGGGCTAATTTTAGTGGCCGGAGGGAGTATCATTCAATAAGAGGCGGATCAAGTGCTGATGAATGATGCTGATAAATTTTGGACTATTCATCATAGTAGATGAAAATCGGATGACTTAGATTAAAGAAGGTTAAGATCATCTTTTTGAGTTTAGAAGTTATTGAGTTTTGTAAATACGTGGAGTCTATGTATATTCGATGCTGAAATGTGTCAAAAAAAAATATTGGATGTTTCGTTATAAAATATTTTCTCATAAATAGTAAGATATTGAGTTTGTTAAGCTCATCAAATATGAAATTGTATATTATAATATAAGATGTTTCCCTATGCATAGGTAAATGTTGAAGTCAATTGAACATGATGCTAATTTATTTTATTTAATAGTAATTTCGATGTTTTAATTATATATGATTGTTAATACAGTTTTACTATATTCTTAACACATCATATGCGATTCTAATAGTTTTTTTTTAATATTTAAATATTGAAAAACTCTAAAAATAATTAGATTAACACATTATGTAGATTATTATCCTAATTTGACTAAAGGTGTCATAATTCAATACAATAAATTAAATTCAGTGCATCAATCCAATAAATCGCATAAGGTCATAAAGTATTTATTCTGGTTTTGTAAATTCCAAATGTATGTCAATCTATGGAGTCTGCGTATATTCAATGTTGAAATACATCAAACAATATGTTAAATATTTTATTATAAAATATTTTCCCATAAGTAATAAAATGTTAAGAGTTCTTTATATTTATGCTAGAAAATTCTGAGAACTTTTTCTAATGAATGCTACATCAAAAGAGGAAGCGGAATGTTGGAAGATTTTGAATTCTTTTTTTAATTAATGTTGCATCGAAGGATAGAGTTGCATCTAAGGGGGAGGAAAATTGAAGATTGAAGTAGTTATATAAATTAGAACTAAAATATTACTATTAAACATCTAAATTGATACAACTTATTAGATTAAAAATTGTAATTCAACAAGTGATATTCAAGTAGCATAATGCCGAATTTTATTTTTAGCATGTAATCCAAGTCCATTCAATATTATATTTATTTACAAAAATTTTACAATCACTTACGCATTCAATCTATACTTTTTATCTTTTTACTTCATTAATTCCCTCGTATACTCCAAAACATTTTTATTTTATGTTATAACTAACTAATATAATATTATATTTATTAAAATTTTGTATCTAACTTAAAAGAGTACTCATTTAGTGCTTGAAGAGAGTAATAATCAGTTCTAATTATATATATAATAGTTTTTATAATACTTTTTTTTTTTTGTCATTGATATTTATGTTTATTTGATCAACTGAGTTTTAAAAAATAAATAAATAAATAAGAAATATATATAATCCTTTTATAACAAAATGTTATTTTTAACTTAAAAACATCTAAATTTGAATGACATAAAATAATAATAATAATAATCAGTAGTAGTTGCAACAGTCCACACAATTAATTAATTTATTACATGGACTTTTGTCTCCACTTTTACATTGCACAACACACAATTTATAATACTCTCTTAGTCTCGTAAAAAATTAAAAAAGTTCATTTCCTATATTTTGTACTATTTTTTAATTTAATAATTATACTATTTATCTACGTAATAAATCTTCACAATTTATAATATATTATACAAGTATCATTATTTTTATATTACACAATACTAATGTAAACTAACACAATGCTTACATTTACGTTACTATAATAGAAATACATTATAGTATAATTTTAAAGAACACATAATATAATTATACACAACACATGCTTATTGATTTTAATACAATAAAATATACATATAATATATAAAAAAAATATAAACGGATAACACATACTTTTATTTAGCATGACATAGACTGTGGTAAATTAAAATATGTGCTATCTATCTAGTTTGCAGGCTATTAGATTTAGTCGGGGATTCACCCAATGCGCATTTTCGGGTAACGATTGTAGATTCCTACGTCGTATAAAATATATATATATATAGCTACCCATAAAATAACTAACTATTGTCGAGTGTACCAGAACTAAAATTGCAAATGCAGAACATAATTCCATGGGGACATTGTCTTACCTTAATTATATAGATTGCAGATGTCCATCCCTATCCATAACACTTACACTATGTTTATCTTTATTGTATGCGGAATTGTGGACGCCAAGGGCAGCCCTGCCCGACGGGTCGAGGTTTTTCGACCAAGATTCGTCCCACTCCACGGCGGCGGCCGTGCTGCACGCCACACTGGGCCCTCCCGGAACCGTAAGCAGCGCCGAATTCTGATTCACAGTAAATTTTGCATGATATTTACTTGTATTTTATTATAAGGATATGGTAAAGGATTATAATGCATGTATAATCATACGATAAAATAATTCAATGTTTACTATAATGAATTGTTGTATAAGATTATTAATTTTTACCTAAAATTCTTTTAATTAAATGATAAAATTAATAGTAAGATAGATATTAATAATAGAAAAAATAGTTAATTAATATTATTTAATACTACTATCTATAAGAGAAAAATTTATAATTTTTTTTTTTTTTTTTATCATTGTATTATATAAGAGCTTTACTTAATCCCAGGTTATATTATTGTTTAGTAAACACATGACAGTAGAAAAAAAATATTATTCAAAAGTAAATACATCCTAAAGGTATAAAATGTCTGTGTTCATTTAATAAAATAAAGAAAGACAAAAATTTATCAACAAATTGCTTTATAGTTTGTAAAATAAAAAAGACAAGTTGTGACTTAATTTTTACAACAGTAAAATAAAAGGTTGACCAAATTTCATTTATTTATTTTATTCACAATCGTATTTAAAATATTTTATTTCATTTATTTTTATAACACTTGCATAATTAAGTTTATATCTACATAAATATATTAATATACGGTTGAGTATTAACTATACAATTTACGAGTATATATTATATAACTAATTATGCATTATTTAAGTTTTTAAATGAGATAATCATTTAAAAAGCTAGATGTAACAACAAAATATATATTACCTGTGGAAACAATCGCTCGTATACCATTCTGTAATAGTACGCCTCCTTTGTCGAAGGCGTGTTGTGGGGGAAGATACTACCGGCATTAAGCATCATCTTATCGCTCACCTGTAAATTAACGCGGGAATAACTAATTTACAACAGATATTCGAATTTTACACTAACTTAAAAATGTAATACGCGTACGTGCTGCTCGGCGTGTGCTTTAAGGCCGTCGATCCAGCTGTAGCCGACGCCATCGCTGAACTGTTCTTTCTGCCGGTAAAGGATGTGCTGCAATTTATCTGATCATGTTAGAGAAGCAAGAATTGATTTAGGAACATAAAAATCGGATTGAACTTCGCGCATTGCGCGATCAAACCTTCGGAAGATACGGCTTCTCCTCATCATCGAATGCCCGTCTAAGTATCCACTTCTCGATTCTACCTTCCTCGGGTTTGATCTAGCATAAGAACGAAAATGATTTAGAGTTCAAGTTTAAGGACTCGCATTCGTTGCCAACAAGTTTCGCTCATTGATACTTGTCGACGATGTAAATTAGAGTGTCATAACATCACCATTTTCTAGGGGTGGAAAAATATATTGAAATACCGTACATATCGTATCGAAAATATATCGAAAATATCGAATTTTCGGTGTACCATAAATTTTGATATGGTATGATACCATGTCGTATATTTTCGGTACGGTAACGGATATGCACTTTCGATTTTCTCGGTATTTCAATATATACTGAAAAAACCGACATACCGAATTATTTTTTATATTTCGATATTTCAGTATTTTCAGTATTTACCGAAATACCGAAATTATTATTTTTTATATTTAATATTACCAAATAATTCTAAATAGTAAAAAGAATATTTCTGTATTTTGGTATAATGCGGTATATAGCGATATTGTTTAAATTTCTGTATTTCGGTATAATACTGTATATATGCCAATACCGTTTAAATTTCGGTATTTCGGTATAATAAAACATATATCTACCGATTAAATTTTGATATTTCGATATATATCGATACCGTTTAAATTTCGGTATTTCGGCATAAATCGGTATATACCTATAACGTAAGGATAATTTGGCATACCGAATAATCGGTATGATACGGTATAAAATATAAGTTGTACCGAATTTTCGGTATACCGATTTCTCAGTCCGGTAACGGTACGATAGATTACCATACCAAAAATTTCGGTACGGCACGCGATATACGGTATAAGTTTTGATATACCATACCGAACCAGCCCTACCATTTTCCACTTGGGATCGATATTCATTGCTACATCGATGAATTCCTTGTCCAAAAATGGGATTCTTGCTTCTAAACCCCACGCAGACGTCGCCTTATTCGCTCTCAAGCAGTCGTACAAGTGAAGAGCTTTTATCTGCAGATGTTCGAAAACATCGAACGCTTACAGAAACAGAGCTTCCAGCAAAAATAGACAGGGCAAATACGAGATGATCGAATTCAGACCTTACGGCAAGTTTCGCGATGGAACTCTTCTTTATTTGGTGCTTTATGGAAGTAAAGATAGCCACCGAACAACTCATCAGCACCTTCGCCGGATAAAACCATTTTCACGCCGAGCGACTTGATCTTACGGGACATGAGGAACATTGGAGTGCTTGCTCTGATGGTAGTAACATCATACGTCTCGATATGGTATATGACGTCTTCAATCTGATCAATTCCATCCTGAACAATTGCATAGACCATATATCATATGCAACAGTTGATTTTAACTATTATTACGTAGAAATAAGGAAAAAAAAACGACGCTTGCCTGCACGGTGAAATGGAACTCATGGTGTACGGTACCCAAATAATCGGCGACTTCCTTTGCCGCTAGAAGATCCGGTGACCCCTGCACAAGAACAGAGCAAAATCTGGACATCAAGAGTAATGAACATCAATAAAGTTGTCGATGCTAGCGCCGGATACTAACTTCAAGACCAATGCAGAAAGATTGAAGCTGAAATCCATATTGCTTAGCTGCTTTTGACGTTGACATGTAACGAGCAGTAACAGATGCAACCAACGATGAATCGAGTCCTCCAGAAAGTAAAACTCCAAAAGGGACGTCGCTCATTAGCCTTTTTATCACAGCCTGCAATCGATCTTTCCTAGTTAGAAGTGTTAATTAGCATTAAGAGAAGGGTAAATTATATAACACCCCTTGTATTCTTGTAAAAATGCACAAAACGCCCTGTATTTTATTTATTGCGTGAAACCTCATTGCATGAAAGACCCTCGTTGTCCAAAACTATGTTTAGTTCTAAATACAGACCTAAATTAAGCAAGTTTTACCAAATATCAGTTGTGGACAAAGAGGATGTTTCGTGGAAACTTTACATTAACAGAAGGGAGTTTAACGCAATAAATAAAACATAAAGTGTTCTGTACATTTTTACAAAAAATACAAGGGTGTTATAGTCTACCTTTAGGAGAATGCAAACTACAAAATTACATCAGATTTCGAAACCTCACCCTTTCGAAAGCTTGCCTCAAAACTATGGGATCATAAGGAGTATAAGGAACAGCCTCGGAAAACCAGGGAGGATTGTACCATCGTTTAAGACCACCGTTCTTGCTCGAATACAAATGCCCCGGTGGGAACGATTCAAAGTGCTCGCATTCATCGTGCAATCCTTTTAACTCGGAAGATACCCAGACCGACCCTGAATACACATCCAAAGATAAACAAATGGACACCAAATGCAATGAAATCTGGAATTTTGATTCGAAATATTAGTCTTTACGGTGTTTGAACTGCGCATACCGTCAAGACCCCAGCCAATGTACAACGATGTGATACCAATGGCGTCACGAGCAACAAGAAAGTTGTTAGTAGAAGTATCCAGCAATACAAATGAAAAGATTCCATCCAGCATATTGATGAAATCTTCACCGTATTCCTCGTACTGTTCAAAGAAACATGTAGGCAGCCAAGGTTAAAAACTGAAACATACTGTGGCATTCAAATTCTCAAATTTCGGGGTACTCACAAGATGTGCAATAACATCACAATCACTTCCGGTCTCGAAGTTGTGGTTAGATATAAGGCTGCGGAGTTCTTCATGGTTGTAAATCTCTCCATTTACCTGAATTTCCGATAAAACATAAAGTAGCGACATAGCAACTAAATCCTCAATCATATGAGCCTAAAAACAATGAAATGTTCGACAAAGCTGATTTACGGTGACTACGATCTTCTTATCTTCACTAAAAAGTGGCTGATCCCCTGATTCAGGATCAATAATGGCGAGTCTCTGATGTGCTAGATAACAATCTCCATGCTTATATATCCCTCCCCAATCAGGACCTCGGTGCTTCAATCTGCTCGACAACAAGAGCTTTAATTCAGCTCAATCTTTGCAATGTTTTTCATAGGAACATTAGAACAATGGATTGATACTAACTTCAATGTTTACTTCATTCATGGATTATAATAAACCCTGTTCATATTTAGAAATATCCTCTCAAGCAAGGAATTCTTTCGAAAAATCGAAACACAGCTCACTAAAGAAGATCATGGTAATCTATAATGACCAATGCCTTAACATATATGACATTAACATAAAGTTGCTCGACGTAATGAAAGCAGAAAAGGAGAATTACATTTACACTAATCTAAGTAGCACAACTGATTTTATTATAGAACAATTTTCCCCTTCCACAGAATCCTGCAACAAAAAATTCTCTGAAAGACTAGCAAAATACAGCACTAGAACAGACATAATCCCCCATTTAAGCCCCAAATTAGTTCAGAGGCAGCAATTAATGTCTGTCTCAAATTTCAATTCATATGAACAATTTCACCCCCAAAGAAAAAGGAAAAGACCGCCAATGACCTAATCGCAGAAAGAAAAGTTTGATTCTGAAAATTGAAGAGCAGAAAAGGGGAAAATGTAAAATCGACGAATTAATCCGGTAATGAAATTGCCTGCGAGAAAGCTCGAGAACGCGGGCTCTCTTGGTCTGACAATCATCAGAACAACCCAAAACCGCCAGTATTCCGCACATGATGAATTGCAGCAGCAGCAGCAACAGTTCCGGAGAAGAATAAGGGTTGAACTGAAGGAGGAAAAAGGTAGCAAATAATAATCGGAAGTGCACAAAAGTAAGAAACGGATTGATAGGAGGCGCAAAGTGCGGGGAGAATCAACGCAGAGCTGACGTAGACGAATTTGAGGCAATGTTCATCTTCATCATGATCTTGGTTGTGTCCACCGCCTTTCCTTGTCTCTCTATATTTAGCATGCAAACTGAGCGATCTGCCATGAATCTGCGTGCGCCTCTATATTTACATTATATATATATATGAATATATATGATCGTAGTGATTTCCCATAAGTACCATGCAATTATCCATCAGCGCTAATTATTCTATCGTGCATTTTACTCTTAAAGTTTTTATTATTTATTATTATTATTATTATTTTTAAAAAATATTACTTCAAATAATCACTTTTATTTTTATATTATATTATAAATTTATTTTTAATTTCGGAATTAAGCCATTATTCAAATTTAATTTTTTATTATTTAAAATTTAAAATTCAAAAATAAAACTCACAAATAAACACACCCTTTAACTTTGTTTATTACATATTTTTTTATTTTATGTAAATAGCTAGTGGTATTTCATTTTTATCAGGTTATTTAAATTTTAGTATTATAAATTTTAAAAAAAAAATAGATATTTAGTTTAATATATATTTCTTTTAAAAAAAGTGAGAATAATGAAATATACAGTTAAATATTTAAATATATAATAGTAAATACAATGAATGAGTTTGTCTGTATAGTGTGTTGGTTTGTAAAATTTATTTTATATAAATTATAAAAAATTCGTATTAATAATATAAAAAAAATATATTTAATATAAAATATTATCTTCATTAAAGAATAAACTATGGGTGTGTTTGTTTGGGGGATTGGATCGGATTTACACTAGTCATCCAATTTTTTTCCTTAAAAAATATCAAATCAAACACCTATTTTTTATTTTTTATATTATACTAAAAATTAATTTTATATTAAAAAAATCACATCAACAATTATTTATAATAATGTATATTAATAATCGTATGCCAAAGAAATATTAGACAAACAAACCTACTATATTTTACTTAGAATTTGGTTTTATAAGTTGATTTTGGATATTTATTTAAATAATAGTAGTAATTTTACGTTTTATTCCATTTATGTATATAATAAAAAAATTTAATTTATTTATTTTTTATTTTTTTTATGACGTGAGAATTTATTGCCGGAAAGTACAAATAAATCTCTAGCCAAATCTAATACCTTGCAAACTAGACTCGACAAGCAAATCAAAAAGTAAATCACGCGTGGACATTATTTAAACTTTATTTTGTATGTATGGTACCATTAAATAATATTAGAAATATTTAAATAAATATTTTAAATTTTTATAATCATTAAATAACTCATCATCTTAGTTATTTAAATAATTAATCTATACTATATAAATTTCAATGTAAAAATAAAATGTTCATCTCTTCTAGAATAGATGGAGTGCATATAGTATAGTTTAGTCGTATTGAGTCATCCAATATAACAGTTGTACAGTCTTCCAATTATCATAAATTAAAATTAATTAATTTTGATTTGATCAACTGAAATTAAAATTAATAATTGTGATATATAGCAACCAAAAATAAAAATTTCAATTTATTTATTTATCTCTTTGTCGCAGTTCTGAAATTCAAAGATCAGCTGCAAAATTGAGAAGGGAAGCAAATGGATCTCCAGCCCGCCCAGGAACAGGACGGTGGCGGAGCCTCTAAATTCAATCTCACTGTCAAATTCAGTGGTCGATCAATACCCATTGAAATCGGCGCAACTTCCACCGTCAAAGATGTCAAAGCCCTTCTTCAAACGCTCACCAACGTCCTCCCTCGAGGCCAGAAGCTCATTTACAAAGGTCGTCTATTCCCACATTTTCTTCTTCTTCTTCTTCTTCTTCTTCTTCTCGATGTTTGGATGTTTTCAAAGGGTATAAGATTGGTTATTTCGGCATTATTTCAGGGAGAGTGTTGTCGGACGACTTGACATTGGAATCTTCGGGGGTTATTAATGGATCCAAGATTATGCTCATGGCTTCGCAGGGCCTTCACCAAGGGGTATATTCCTTTTCCTCGATGAGATTTATCATTTACTTATGCTAGAAAATACGAAATCTTGTGGAGGAAAAAATGCTTAGTGATCATGTCTTTTCATGGGCAATTACAGATAAATTGTGTAGCTTGTAGAGTTGAATAGATTTATTAATTTGGGGCAGTTAGTTACTAAAATGCTTAGCAACTCAACACATGGTGTAGATTTAAAAGCTCTGAATACTTACAAGTTGAGACAGCTTTGGATTTGGATGGAAGGGTGTGGTTGTGACTTGTGCGTGTATATGTTTTGTATAACGTTGGATTTGAATTGTGGAAAATAAACTTTGAATAAAATGTTTTAAATATAAAACAGCTTATGGAAAATAGGTTATGAATGCTTATTTTGAATGGAAAATAGGTTTTGGATTAAAATGTTTTGAATGTAAAATAGGCATTGAATGTGATGTTTTATAGAGGGAAAATGATTTTATAGATTGCATGATGCGAAAGCAAGATCAAAAATACCAAAACACACTACATGGCCGACTATAAGCTGTGATTATTGTGTTGTTAATTATATTGGTGCTGCCCTGGATAATTTGCAATAGGATGGTCCCATAAAAAAGGACTCAGTGGCGATTACGAGTGTGAGGAAGGCAGCAGATAATGCGAGAGGAAAGAAAGAAAAGATTGAGGTGCCTGTCACAAAGAGTCGGCTTGAACGTTGGAAAGCCACTGGTGTGATAGCATTATCAAATTCTGGTCTAACGGTATGTTTAGTGTGAAACATGATATTTGAAAATCTCTTGTTCGTCTTTCATTTAATCATGGCTCTTTGTAAGAAATTGCTTTCCCACTTCTATTTGAAAAGATTATTGACTTGAGTTTCTCAATCTCTACTTGCAAGCAATTGAATCAATTTTATGCATATGTGATACATCTTTGCAAGTAGAGTATTCACTATTTCATATACATATTTATTTTACATGTAGGATGTTAACTGAGCTGTTTCTGTACGTATGTCCAGAAGTAAGACTTTCAGGAAAGTTGTTAATTTAAAATATGACTATTTACAAGATGTGGGTCTATGTGTGCACCTTGACAAAGGTGAATGTCCTCTTTCTCCAAACCCTTTATGTAACTATGCATTTGCCCCTTTCAACTATGATAAAGAATTATCAGAAATCAGAATGTCGCGCTATTGTTACTATCAGTAAATCAGATGCTCTAGTTCAAAAAAATTATTAGAGATGACATGTCTAAGTGTTAGAGACATGGTTGAAATTTCTTTGCAAATATGTGGATTAACATGTGACCCTAACCTCATCCATTTTAACATACTAATACTTCCTTGCACTATGCACTAATTACTTCTATCCCCCTTTCAATCATGTTGTTATGAATATTATTTTACCCAGAGTTTGTAGCTGTATGTTACATCTTAAAAGTTTTCCGATCTGTATGCCAGAATATACCTGAAGAAATCTTGACTAGTGGAACATCTGCTAGAGTGCTAGATGTCAGCCAAAATTCATTACTCGAGGTGCCAGCTACTGTTGCCTGCTTAAGCTCCATGCAGGTCTGGAAACTCTATAACTCTCTATAACATGTCTACTTTTATTGGTGAGTTTGTTCATTCACATCCCTAATTGTCATCTTGATTGCTTCTGTAGAAATTGTTTCTCAATGGCAACAACTTATCAGATAAATCCATAAGCTGGGAAGGAGTAACATCATTAAAATCTCTCATGGTTCTATCACTAAATGAAAATAAGTATGTCCATTCTTCTATATCTTTTTTTGTTATATGATATTTATAGTTTAATTCTTACCATAACTGTTTGTTTATTTGAAGCACTACATCTTCCACACAATTCTGATATATGGCTTATATTCCTAGCATTTCAATTTTTTTATTTTTTATCTATCATTTTTACATTGTGCCTGGTCTTCATAAGCTGTTAAAATGTATCATGTTTGTATTGAATGAATATTCTCTCCTTATATATAGTATGGTATCATGAATGTATAAGCTATGTTTACTAAGTGTATGAAGGATATTCTCGCACATAAGATAATCACTGGAGTCAAACTTAGCAAAAATAGTAGTAGGAAAAAACGAGAAGACTTTATTGTTGCTTATTTAACAATTTCGTACAAATCTTGTGGAATTCGACCATATTTGAGCAAACATCTTCAATTTAGAATTTTAGACGAGAAGATGCTGACAATGATTCCATTGAAGACGTTATATTTGCTTATTTAAGCACATTTGGTGAGACATGTTTTCTTGAAACTCACCACAAGCTTTGTCCCAAATAGTTCATTGCGGTTAGCTGATTTGGGGAATTTCTATAGTTCCACTTCCACCTACTTTTACTGAGCAGGCAGTCGAGACATCTTTATGGAATATGAATATTTTCAAGGATGTCTTTCAAATTTTGTGTGTTAAAGCTGCATCTGAATTATGTCATGTCAATGGTGTTTCAGTGGTTATTTTTTTTTGTTGTTATTAGAGTAGAATGTGACAATATTGGTATCATTGGATCCATGTTTATCTCGTGTCTTAGAGCTTCTTCGAGCAAAACTTTTGCAAGAGTTCCCTTTGTTATGCAACAAAATAGCTGCCTGTATATGAAGAACTTTTTTTTTTTTTTTTTTTTTTTTTGTATCTGATTATATGTGTATTGCTTATGAAACTAAGTTGGATTTTCTTTTGTGTTTCACATTTCAATAAGTCATCTCCTCTTGACAGTTCATCTATATATCTGATGCTGGTCTGTTGCATTAGATTATTGCTTGATTTTTCTTGACTTCTAACAGTTTGACAACATTGCCTTCTTCCATCGGTGCCTTGACATGCTTGAAGCAACTTAACATCTCTGGCAACAAATTGAGTTGTATGCCTGCTGAAATAGGTTTGTTGACAGAACTTCAGGTGTTGAAGGCAGATAATAACAGGTGTGTGACCGAATAACAAAATATCCAAAAGTAATGATTGGTTTAAGGGATATTTAAATTGAAGTGTCTTTTTGCATGCAGGCTACAAAGTATTCCCGTCTCTATTGGAGGATGCTTTTCTCTTATTGAGGTAAATCCTAATTTCTCATCTTTATCTTGGATGTAGCATTCTCTCCTCTTTGTACCTTGGCCAAATTAAGATGTGGAGAGGAACTGAAAGGTCAGTCTGTAATTAGGGCTAGAACCATAAAATGCTATATATAGCACTCCGGCCCTCCCTAAACCCTTTTTTCACGAACCAGATGTTTTATATGGTCATAGATTGGTCTTTAATCTCGAGTCTTGCACCTTAGAAAACTTCCTTGGAGAGTAGGAGGTCACAAATTATGAAATTGACCTAAAGCTAGCACGCTTTACGTTTAAGTTCTTATTGGTGCATACTACAAAAGAAGGTACACTTTGTTGCTCTTTTATTCCTACAAAGAACTTTCAATGACATATGGACATCTAATATCTATGATTTAGTTTCTAAGCTGAGTGTGCTGATAGCCTTCTTCGAGTTAACTGTGAACTTCAAGAAGAGAGATTGGAGATATTTATTCTTGATGTTTATTCCAATGCTTCATGTTATTAAATACTAGGGAGGAGTTAGTGCGTGCAACCATTGCCCCTTAGTTATTATGTAAGCTTATTTTATTTTTAGTAAGTTGAGTTTAGTATAAGTATTTAAAGAGATTATTTGGGTATTAAAGCACATTATTCTTGATATTGGATATAAAGGAGCTTGGTGGTTTTAGGCTAAAGGATTCATATCGTTTGATCTTTCTATTGCTTTTATCTTGTTCAAAGAATTGTTCAAAGAATTGGTCCAATCTGCTGGATCCAATCCTATCGTCATGGCAACAACAAGATTAACAGGCGAACGGCTGGATATATTTGAGGCCGATCAAGTTGAGATCAAGGAAAATATGAAGGCGACTAACATCGAACTGGTTATAAATCTTGGCGACTCTAGCCGAATTCTCGAAGGTGATTTTGAAACCTTTTGAAATGCGACAATCGGCAACAAGTCACAACATGGAGGGTTGTGCGACAGCAGAGGTCGACACACCGCCGCCATTGGTGATTGCGCCGCTACAATTAGAAACCAACCCTAGATTGCCGATGAACCCAGTGCAACTTTCGTCCTTTGACGCCTTAGATCTGATAGGCTGTTTAGCCTGTGTCAATCAACAATTTGAGATTCATAACGCTAGTTTAGAGGTGAAGTAGTCATCGGCCGTGGTGACCACGGAAGATGCTGCGTTCAACTGGTCAACTTGGTTATATTCTTGAAAGCTAGGTTCAACATAGGGTAAATTTTGGAAACCATTGGTGGCCAGATTTTGATAGAAACGAAATAAAAGATAAGAAAAATCAAACGATATCAATCGTTTGCCCAAGAACAATCAAACGGTACCAATCATTTGCCTAAAGCCTGACGGCTATTTTATTTCCAAAGTTTCAGAATGATAGTCTCAAACTCTAGTTCCTTTCTTTAAATATTATTACCTAAACCCTACTTACTAAATATAAAATAAGTCAACTCAATAACTAAAAGACAAACCTAACTCAAAATATAATATATTAATAGACTAGCAAGTAAATAAAATTCAACATGTCTAAGCCCATCCCCGTTGTTAATACTCAAGCATTTGTCAAGATTCCGTTTTTTCTTTAGTCATAACTTCATGCTCTTTCAGATTTTGCTTTCTATTAATTTCATCCTTCTTCAAATCGACCTTGTCCCCAAGGTCGAAGTATGAGAATTGGAATAAGCTTTGATCTTCCTCTTGTTTTCCTCCCTCATGGGCTCGATCCCACGTCTTTTGGGTTAGGTTTTGGTCACCTTTCAACACTACTTGACCGCCTTTCCATTTAAATGACATAGTAAGAGCTTCCCAATTTGTTTGAACATCGCCCAACATGGCTAACCAAGCTATACCAAAAATAATATTAACACCCTCGAAGGGAAACACAAAACAATTGGTTGTTACCTCACTACCCTGTAATGAGACCATAACATCCCGGCATAATTCTTCGGATTCCCATCTTCGTCCATCATCTAACCAAACTCCAAATATTTCTGTATGATCAGTTGGTAATCGTAGAGTAGACACTAAGAAAGAAGATATAAGATTGTGACTACCGCCACTATCAATTAAAATTGTTACCTTTCTTTCTTGTACAATTCCATGCAACCACATAGTCCGCTGCCTCGGAAAGCCGTCTACAAAGAAAAACGTTAAGGTCCCTTTTTCTATCGATGGATCTCCTCGCTCTCCCATCCAATCTTCATGCCCCGTTGGTACATAATATTCAAACTGCTGAAGATCTAAGACCTCTTTGTCTTTTTCAGCTAACATGACTGGCAATTGTTTGAGAGGACATTAATCTTTTGTGGTGTATGGTTTCTTGCAGCGAAAACAAAGTACTTTGGCCGGCAATTCAGCAAATTCTTGGGGTGAGAGACGGGTAAATCGATTCTGGACTGCTGACTAACTAGTTGCCTCTAATTGGGCCACAGAAGGATGACCGACAGGTTTGCTAATAGATCCGTTGCGATTGACCCCTATTGCTGAAACCCTAATCGTATTGTTTGATCGGGACATAGAGCTTGCGTGCGGTGTCGGACTGTTCAAATTTTGATATGGGTGACTGTCAACTTGCACTTGAAGATTATCCAAGTCTTTGGGCCGAAGAAGGCGGAGGGAACTTCGAAGAGTCCTTTAGACCTTTCATAAAGTAGTGCAGATAGTGCGTATCTATCAAACCAGGAACTTGGCTAGCCAATTGAACAAATAATGTTACGTAGTCATCCACCGATTCCTCTTGTTTAATATCTGCCAATCGTTCAAGAGGACCGCCCTTGAAACGCGTATCAAATCTCGCCACCAACGCTTGCGAAAATTCTTCCAATGTCAGTCTCGTTTTATGAGAGCAAAACCAGGTTGACCAGACAATGCAGCTTCTCCCATGGCCACCACGGCTGCAGGCACCTTTATCCTCCGGATTGGTGTTATGAATTTCAAACTTTTGATTGACGCGGGCGAACTATCCTATCAGATCTGAACCATTGAAGGATGGAAATTGACATGGCCTGTCTGCAATTGGGAGTTAATCACCGGCTGCAGTGGCACAGTGGCCGGGGGCGGCAATGTTGGTTGGTGTGGCGGGTCTGCCGAAGCCAGCATTGTGCCGCACTCCGCTATCGCGCTATCCTCCGCATAGTGGCTTGTCGCTGATTGTTGCGATCCAGAGGGTTTCAAATCACTTTCGAGAATTCAGCGAGAGTCGTCATGATCTCTGCCAGGTGGATGTTAGTTACCTTTATATTCTCCTTCATCTCGGGTTGATTAGCCTTAAGTTTGTCCGGTTGCTCAGCTGTTGATCATGTTGTTGCCATGACGACGGGATTGGGATCCGGCCGGTCGGACCAATTGATAGAAACAAAATAAAGGATAAGAAAAATCAAACGATATCAATCGTTTGCCCAAGAACAATCAAACGGTACCAACCGTTTGCCCAAAGCTTGACGGCTACTTTATTTCCAAAGTTCAGAATGATAGTCTCAAACCCTAGTTCTTTCTATTACCTAAACCCTACTTACTAAATACTCCCCCCGTTCCGCCACAGATGACCCCTTTTCCTTTTTTGTACGTCTCACAAAAGATGACCCATTTCCATATTTGGTAACTTTATCAATCTTGAACATACTTAACAAATATAAATCAATTTAATTAAACTTCTAACATCTTACACGTAGGACCAACTCAAAATCCCTTCATTTCTATATCTCTTCTCAATTAACATAATTTTTTATCTATATTTAAAACTCCTCATTTTTTATAAAACTAATTTATGGTAATGATAAATAAATAAAAATATTTGTATTATATAAAATTTTATTATCTACAAAATGATATTCATATTGCATATATTTTTCGAGATATAATCTTAAAATTTTTAAAAATACCAATAATATTATTCATATAAAAATTATAAACTAATATCATAACTTATTATTAATAACTTACTAATCTACACTACCTAAAAAACTGTGTCCCTAATAAAAGGGTTCATCACTCATGGGACGGAGGGAGTATAAAATAAGTCAACTCAATAACTAAAAAACAAACCCAACTCAAAATATAATATATTAATAGAAAAAAAAGTAAAAAAAATCTAAACGCACGAACATCATGCCTAAGCCCATCCCCGTTGTCAATACATATGCATTTGTCAAGACTCCGTTTTCTCTTTAATCATAACTTAATGCCCTTTCCGATTTTGCTTTCTATCAAATTTGATATGCATTTCAAGAGCAGTCCTTTTGAACGATTGACGGACATTAAACAAAAAAGATCGTTGGATGACTACGTAATTCTATTTGTTCAATTTGCTAGTCAAGTTTCGGGTTTGACAGATGCACACTATTTAGGCTATTTTATGAAAAGTCTAAAGGGTCCGATTCAAAGTTCTCTTCGCCTACTTCTTAAAGACAACCATGAAGTTGTCTAGAGACATTGAGGATAATCTTCAGGTAGGTTGGCAAGCACCCATATCAAAATTTGAGTAGCCCGGCACCATGAGCAAGCTTTACATCCGACCAAGCAACATGTATTAGGGTTTCAACAATAGAGTAAACCACAATGTACCTGTTAGCAAATCTTCTAAACTTTCCAATCATCCTTCAGTGGCTCGATTGGAGGCAACTAGTCAGACAACAACTCAAAATTGATTTACCTGTCTCTCACTCTAAGAATTTGTTGAATTGTGAGCCAATAGATGGTGTTTTCGCTATATTTAACTATACGCCTCACATTATGAATGTCCTCTGAAACAATTGCGAGTCATGATAGCCGAAGAAGGTGAGGTCTTGGACCTTCAACAGTCTGAATATTATGTACCTACCGGGCAGGAAAATTGGATGGAAGAACAAGTAGATGTATAGATATAAATGGGGACTTTAGCCTTTTTCTCTGTAGAAGGCTTCTCAAGTCAAGGACTATGTGGTTGCATGGAGTTTTGCAAAGAGGGAAGGTAACAATGCTAATTGATAATGGTGCTAGCTTGTCGCAAGGCTGCAAAATAATATTAGTTCCTACGTCACAAAATGTGCAAAATGCAATAGTAATGGTGAGTAGGGTCATCTCCGCAGGGAAGCACAAAGGATTGACCACTCGGTTATTAATAATTATACTAATATAAATAACATGTGCCCAAAATTTGTCAACTTCATGAATACTATAAACAACAAAAAACACATCATCAGAAGCATATATATAAAATTTCTCATCCAAAAGTTGAGCAAAATATAACAAAATATTATCATATATAGCTTGTATCAATTCCCCCCCACACCTATCCCATGCTTACCCTCAAGTATATATCTAAGCCAAGAATTGAAAGATTTATTAACGCAAAATTCACTTAACCATGTCATCAACTACGTAAGATTCAAAGCATGCGAAAGCCAACTAACCTCCACCAAATAGCGAATGTATACAAAGTAAAACTTCATAGTGTTTAGGCTATATTCACTCAATGTACATGATGTAAACGACATTTCCAATAGGCTTGCAAGCAAATCAAATATACTCCACAATTCATGGAATTAATGTTTTCATAATCAAAAGTCTTAATAAAAGGTTGTAATAGGACTATGATTGGGGTAGGAAAAAAGAATATCAAAGGCTAATGGGACCGGTGAATTAATCAATCAATTCATCACATTATAATGAATACAAGTTGCACATACCCAATTAACAAGAACAAAACAATACTGCACAAACTTTGATCAATGTCACACTGCCACATAGCAACCACCGAGTTTTTAATCACCTGCACAACAACAACAACAAAGGACAATGCCCAAGCTCCCATTCCAGGGAATTCTTTGCACAATATGGTGAAAACAATTGCTTCGAATATATTGCAATTTCAGCGAAAGACGAGAACAAACATCAAAACCTTGGAAAATCATTTGTCTTCATTGATCTTGCGAAATGGTAAAGATCTGAAAAGTCCGACGGTTGTTACTCAAAAAAAAAAAAAAAAACTGGAGAAAATTGAGCAAGAATGAACAAGTATACTACTCGGGTAATTTATAATCCTCCTATTCAATTCAATTCTAATATTGTTAATCATATGCATCATTTAAGTTCATCAACTAACATGACAAGATCCTAATGAACTAAGTAAAGCACAACAACCTCAACTCGAAATACGCAAGAGGATATGCAGGGAAGTTTATTCAAAATAAGGTATTAGATATCATCAGAGTACTAATCTCCCCTTACACCTAATTCATGCAATGTCCTTATTGCAAAAAGAAAAATGACACAAAATAGAAGTTGAAAGGAAATTTCCTTGGAATAGGTGGAGGCGACCGGCCTTACTAAAGGCCAACGGCGTGCATGCAGTAGCTTCTCGATGGTGGCCTAGACATCATCAAGTTTGATGTGAAACTTAACATTATCCTGCTTCAATATTTCAATGTCTGCATTAAGTGCCCGCAAAGTAATGCGGGAAACAGAGCTAGTAGTGGATCTCGAAGTAGCACCATCCTCCCCAGAATCATTGGCAGGAGCTCCTCTTGGTTGTCATCAAAGTGCACCATATCCCCATGGGACGGGCGTCGCAACTGGGTAACAAGCTGTTATCCAATGCCGTTCTTTTTAACCATCCCCATGCGAAACAACATCATCAGGTCTAGGTGCTCTATGGGCCCCGCTTGATGGAGGTGCAACCTGGAAACAAAAGAAGAATCAATGCTAGGAAGAACACCCAAACTAAGTGCAAGGGTAGTAAAGAATGAAGCTTGCTCTGAAACCGTGTATAAGTAAAATTCCTGTAATTCTGTTCTCACAAAAATAAGTAATTATATATATATAATAAATACATTCCTAATCTACTTTGGACTAGACTCCTAATATACAATTAAATATATATTTATATTTAACAATATATAACAGCATGCTCTCCTCCTATTACTTTAAGTATAGCATCACCAATGATCATTCATTTCCTGTAGGTCGATCTTTCTCATAATCTCCTTGCTGAGTTGCCTGAGACATTCGACAGTTTCAAAAATTTGAAGGTTAGTTTTCTTCTTCTTGAGCATCTCAGAATTCTGTTTCCTTGATGTCCTTTGTGCAATTCAGCTACCATATATATGTATATATTAGCAACTTAAGCTTGACCTTGTTAATTAATACGATGCAGGCATTGTATCTCAAACATAATGGGCTGAAGTCCCTACCCAGCACACTATTCAAATCTTGCTTGCAGCTTTCAATTCTTGATCTTCATGGCACAGAAATAACCATGGACGTTCTCCGACAGGTACTTGAAATTTTCACTTTAATCATTGTAATTACAAACATCCATGCCCAAGGATTTCTCCGGACGTAGGAATTGTTCCTGAAGTATAGATATGAAACTGATAAATTGATTGGCAGTCAGATTGTATGCTGCCCGGGATCTCATTGTGACCCCCGACCTCATATGATCTGTGCATAGTTTTTTGCATTTCTGGGGTTGTTACAACTAATCTCATGTACAAGTTTATCTGTTGAATAAATGGAAGCCTTCCTACATAACAACACTAGCGAAAGTAATTAAAAATCAAATAGGTGTCGCGCCCTTTTGTAGATACATGGTAACTGCATTTCGATTTAATATAGATCAACTTGAACCAGTACTTAGGATCAGTGCATCCCTAGTGGTATTTGATCTATTTGATTGGTGATTCATTAATGGGTACTTGATCTAAAATGCATCAGTTTGAAGGATGGGAGAGTTTCGATGAGCGGCGTCGCTCTAAGCATCAGAAACAACTCGAATTTCGAGTCGCCGGAGCAGGTGAGTTTGATGAAGGTGCTGATAAAAACTGGTGATGGAAAAATTGCTTCAACATTGAAGGATTGGATGATTGTGTTGTATTTATGGCAATGTTCAGTTTCTTTAGAAAGAATGTTTTGATTAATATGATAAATATGCTCCTGCATATGATAGTTGTAGTATTTTCATAAGTTCATGCAATAACAAATTTAAGAACTTTAATTTATTAAAATAAGTAAAATGGAATAGGTATTCCAAGTATAATTATTCCTTCGTTCGTCAAATTTATTTTTATATTTCTTTTTAGTCCGTCCATCAAATTTATTCTATTAATAATTTCAGCGAAATTAACAAATTAATATTTTAATTAAATTTTTTTATTCAACATTTATTTACCACAAATACTATTTCCCTTCTTACATTCTTTCTTCGTTTATTTTAATTTTTAATTAAATTTTTAAAATTATTTCGGCCCAAGCGGACTAATGTTAATGAAGGGAGGGAGTATTTAGTTGAAATTAATTACTTATTTTAGATATTTTAAATATATATATATATATATATATAGAGGTGGTTAGAATGCTAATTTAATTTAGTCTGCATATATAATTGTATATTGTATTTAGTTGAAATTAATTACTTATTTTAGATATTTTAAATATATATATATATATATAGAGGTGGTTAGAATGCTAATTTAATTTAGTTTGCATATATAATTGTATATTGTTTTATATAGAAACATGTGTTATATAAATATTATTATTGTGTTGAAATCAGTAATATAATATGTCGATGTAAAATTATATCATATGATAAGCAAAATTGTATAAGATGCTATATTTATATTATCTTGTAATATCAGAATATATAGTTAAGTATAATAATGGACAATAAAATGAAAGATGTTTGAAGAAAATAGAAGTTTTAAATTTTTATTATCTTATAAGTATTTAAGTACTTGTTACAACTGTTTTTTAAATTGAATGAGTTATTGAATTGTATAATGAATATTTGATCGAGTGATAGTTAGGTAAAGCAATCTACCTATAATTGGATTTATGCATTTTTTTTTATTTTTTTTTAATATAATTGGATAGGAATTATGCAATCTTATTCTTGCAATATATCGTCAATAAAATTGATGTTGATGAACAACAAAACTTGCATGAGTTCTTTCAATTTTATTTTTTATTTATTTATTTTTTTTATTTTTATCAAAATGAGTTCTTTCAATTTGAATTTCAAATAAGAGGTTTGCTTTATTTAATATCTTGATGGTGAATTTTTTGTGGAAGATTTTATTATTATATTTATTTAAGGCTAAATTACAAAAAATAAACATATGTTTCAGAAAATTGTGCAAAATTTCTATTCTTTCAAAATTGCGTCAAACTCTTTTTTGATTTTATAAACTTTGCGTTTTACCCATCGGCCGTCCTTATTTAACGATATTTAATATGCACGCATCCAAAATGAGAATAAGTTTCACAATCTTCATTTCTAAACCCTTAAATTACAAATATATTCATTATTTGTATTATTTAACCTAATATACTTTGAAATAGTTACTTTTCTCTAGTTTTAAAAGTTTATTTTTAATATTTTTTTAGATTAAATATAACAGAAATTAATATATTTATAATTTTAGGAGTTTATAAATTAGTAATCTGAAATTCATTTATAATTTGAGTGCGTGTAGGTCAAACATTATTAAATAAGGACGACCGGTGAGGTTTGATGCAAGGTTTATGAAACCACGAAAAAATGAGAAATTTTGCGCAATTTTATAAAACCACGATGAATTTTGTGCAATTTAATCTTTATTTTACTTTGAATGTAATATTTTATTAGAATAAAAAGTATATCTTTACAAAAAAAAAAAAATTGTAAAAGTTAAATAGTTAGATGCTCATATTAAATAAAAATACACTACTATAAAAAATAAAAAAAAACATGTTAAGTGTCTGTTTTATATATACATTATAAATTTAAAATTTTATTTTTTCAAGTAAAATGATACTCCTTTCATTTTTTAAATCTATGTGTACTATTTTTTTAGGATTGCAATAAAATGGTTTTGTTTTTTAATAAAAAAATTATTATATTTTTATTTTTTATCATAAAAGAAAATAATAATAATAATTATTCACTTTTATTAAAATTTATTTTCAGTCAAATGAACATCCATTGAATGACCGAGAGTAGTGTAATATTTTCTCTTCTATCTAAAAATAAATTCATTTGATTTTTTATTGTATAATAGTCTTTCTAACATGTAAAAATAATTTCATTTAGGTTGGAGGTTGAGTTATAATGTGAGATGTATTTTTTAATTTTTATAGTAAAAAAAAAAAAAAAAAAATTGTATAATAATTTTACTAAATATATATATATTATTATATTTTTTATAACAGATGTAAGAAAAATAAATGTATTTTCTTGATGACATTAGGAGTATAATGTTTTTAATGAATATCTTTTCATTAAAAATAATAGTTCATTCGTCCCACCTACTATTTCATATTGCCGTTTCTGTTCGTCTCACGTTTCATGTCATTTTTTTTTTTCTGAAAAATGATTATGCATCTTAATCTTATTTTAAAATTTCTAATTATTTCATTTTTCCATTTTGGTCCGTTCCATAACAAAGTATCCATTTCTTTTTACCTACCTAACATTACAAATATCCTTCCAATTTATAATATATTAGCGTTAATTTAGTCTTTTTATCTTTACTTCTACTTTATCCCAATATAATACTAATATTTCTAAAACTCCGTGCAAAAGCAAATGAATATATAGATATGAGACGGAGAGAGTATGTTATTTATTTTTACTAATACATTTTTAATTATATACTAATTATATTTATTCTAAATTTTCGAGTATAGCGTAATCAAAATGTCCAATAAGAGACGGAGAGAGTATAATTATATAATAAATTATTGAAAAAAAAAAATGATTCCTTGAAATGAAATATTTTCCGGTGGAATGAATGAAATGTCGGCACAGTCAAAGGCAAGAAATTGATTCCTCCGCGCATTAATTACTATTCACACTACATACATACATACATATATACATACATATGTTGACTTAATATAATCGTGCTTATAATACAATAATATTAAAACAATACTTTATAAATAAATTTATAGTATACATATAAAATAAAATTTATTATTATATTTCATATAGATAATTGTTAAGTTTTTTTCCCCAAAGCAATCTATACATAAATATGGATACAATTGCGAATGTTTATATTATAAAAAAAAGTTCAATTTTGTTATTTTCGTTCGTTCCAAAACAATAGTTCAATTTTTATTTTTTAGTAACAAATTTCTCATTTTTTTTTATATAATTATTCATATCTTTTTTTCACAATAATTACATAAAAGTAAATATATTTTGATTTTTAAAATTTTACTCACACTATTAATATAATACTCCATCTGTTCCAATACAATAATCTTGTTTATCATTTTTGTCCGTCCGAAAACAAAAGTTTTATCTCCATAAATAACCATATCACTATAAAACTACCACTATTTTTTCATTTTTATTACACAATTGTCGTTACGTTTTACACTAATACACTCATCAGAGCAAAAAGGTCTTTTATTTATACTTTTTACCGACTACTAATATAATATAAATATTTCTTAAATCTCGTATTTAACCCAACTAAAACTATAATTTTGGAACAGAGGGAGTATTATTATTATTTTTTAATTTTCGTAGCAATCTCGCATGTCCGCGAGCGACTGTATAAATACGTACATAGACTGTATAAATACTTACATTCGTTCATTCCTACACAGACGCACACGATTTGTTTTGTCTGATAAATAGAAAATCAAAACCAGTACAATGGGCCGGGCCGGGCCGGGCGTTGAATAGTAAGCTTGTATTGTAGTAGTAGTATATGTACTTTGTCGCGTCCGCACGGGCCCACCACGTGATCGCGCCTACTCTCTCTTTCTCTCTCTCTCTCTCTCTCTATCTCCCTTCTTGGATTCCATTCCATTCGATTTCTCTCTCTTTCTCTCTCCCCCACAAATCAAATTCAAATGAATTTATAGACCAAGAAAAGTCTTGTTCATTCTCCCAGTTACGTTTTCTCTTACACGTCCCATCATCATATCATATCATATCATTTATTTTCAATTTCAATTTCAATTTCAATTTCAATATTTCATATCATATCTTATCACCCCCTTCTTCTTTTGCCCTTTTCCTTAATTCCCACTAATCATCAATCGCCAAGATTCCGATCAATCGACCCATCCCAAAAAAAAAAAAACAAACAAAAACCATTCTTACATGACCACGACAAAATTGATTTACCTATATAGATTTTATACTAATAATCATAGGCTAATTTAATTAAACAAACGATCAATCGATCGGCTTATATATATATATATATGGAGCCGCCGCCGAGCGGGGAGGGGGATGAGCCGCCGCCGCCGCAGCCGCAGCCGCCGGAGACAAGCGCCGAGGCTGCAGGAGGATCGGCTGCGCCGAGCCGATACGAGTCACAGAAACGGCGCGACTGGAACACGTTCCAGCAGTACCTGAGAAACCACAAGCCGCCGCTGACGCTGGCGCGGTGCAGCGGCGCGCACGTGATCGAGTTCCTCAAGTACCTGGACCAGTTCGGGAAGACCAAAGTGCACGTGACGGGCTGCCCGTACTTCGGGCAGCCTAACCCGCCGGCGCCCTGCGCCTGCACTCTGAAGCAGGCCTGGGGCAGCCTCGACGCGCTCATCGGACGCCTACGCGCCGCCTACGAGGAGAACGGCGGCCGGCCGGAGGCCAATCCGTTTGGCGCCAAGGCCGTTAGGATTTATCTGAGAGAGATTAGGGAAAGTCAGGCGAAGGCACGTGGAGTGCCATATGAGAAGAAGAAGCGAAAGCGTGCCTCGTCGTCGTCTTCTGCACGCGCCGCCGCCGCCGCCGGAGATGGAGACGGAGCTGCAAGCGGTAGCGGTGGCGGTGGGCTCGTCTCTCCCGGCGAACCGCCCAGTTAATAATAATAATAATAATAATAGTAGTAGTGATATATGAAAACACACTGTTAATTACAAGCAAATGCTAAATTGTTATTTATATATCCTGTAATACATTATTAATTTTATTTTATTTTTTCAATATAGTAACTGTTAATTGTGAATTATTATTTTATTTAAATTTATGTTTATTTTTAATTTGTTATATTAAAATATTTTTGATGTTTTAGTAAAAATTTATACTATATTTTGTTGAGAGTTGACAAGATAAATTAATAATATTACCTTGGTTCGGTTTTAAGGGTCTTATTTATTTTTTTTTTTTTTGTTAATATTTGAATATTAATTATTATATGAAAATATTATAAAAAATAAAGGAAAATAACAAAAATACCTCTATAAATATTTTATAATACTATTATAATATCATTTGTACAAATAAATTATACAAATATAAAAATATTTTTAATGCTAATTACAATAAAGCAAAAATAAATATAACTTTTAGAGGCTGATGGAGAGAGTAATAGTATTTAATTGAAAGTTATTAGTAGAATGCAAAAGACTAAAATATAGTTACTTTTAATAATTTTAAAAAATATGTTAGAATAATAATTAAAAATAATTCAAAAAAATAAAAATAATTTTATTATTAAATAGAAATCATAGTTACTAAATAAAATAAAAAAACAACTATTTTAAAATATACTAAAGTGACAAAACAAACAACTATTTTTAAAAGGAGGAGAGAGTATATTTTTATATAAAAAAATAAAAAATAAATAAAAGTAAATCTCACATTAAAACCTTCGCCCACGGAGTAGTATTATTATTATTACTTATTTAGGTGTGTGTTTTTATTTTTTTTTTTGAGATTTTTTATATTTTTATTATTTATCAATTTTTTTTTTTCAAAAATATTAAATCAAATATTTATTTTTTATTTTTTATATTATACTAAAAATTAATTTTATATTCAAAATATTATATCAATACCTATTTATAATACTTTCTCCGTCCGGCCAGGGATGAACCATTTTATTAAGGATACGGTTTTTTAGGTAGGGTAAATTAGTAAGTTATTAATAATAAGTTACGATATTAGTTTATTATTTTGTATATGAATAATATTATTGGTATTTTAAAAATTTTTAAGATTATATCTTGAAAAAATATATGCAACATAAATATCATTTTGTAGATAATACAATTTTATATAATACAAATAAATAAATTAGTTTTATAAAAAATAAGGAGTTTTAAATATAAATAAAAAAATTATGTTAATTGAGGAGAGAGATAGAAATAAAGGGGTTTTAAATAAGTCCTGAGATGTTAGAAGTTTAATTAAATTGATTTATATTTGTTAAATATATTTAAAATTAATAAAATTACCAAAAAAGAAAAAAAAGTCATCTTTTGTGAGATACATTAAAAAAGAAAAAATCATCTATAGCGGAACAGAAAAAATATATTATACTGTTATTTTAATTCAAAATTTTTACTATTCAAATTTTGACTGCCAAACATAAAACAGCCGTACTACTCTCCGATGCTTTGTGGGTAAATTAATTAATTTAAAGCTGGATTTTATAATTAATTGTTGTTTGGAGAGACCCGTGTCGGTGGCAGCAGTATTATTTATTTATTTATTTATTTGTGAATAGTGAAACATGGTTTTGAATTAGCTTTCAACACCGACGACCTAATTAAATGAACATATATACATATATATATATATATATATATACACACATGAAGTGGGAAGGGGTAAAGCAAGTTTGGAAGGAGCTTTAAATTTTAAAAATAATAATAAAAAATTTAAATATGTAATACTCCACATTCACCTATTAGTAGGGGTGAGCAAAATATCCGAAATTTGAAAATCTAATCCGAACCAAACTGAAATTTAAAATTTGGTTCGAATTTTCGAATTGAATTTTTAATAAATTTTGAATTTTCGGATCGGATCGGTGTACTTAAATCCGAACAAATCCGAAATCCGAAATATAACATTTTAATATTTTTTTTTATTATACATATTTAATATTTTATTAGAAAATATTATATTTTAATATATTTAATTTTTATATATTATATATATTTAATATTATAAAATAATAAAAAAATTTAAAAATTAAAAAAAAAATAAAAATATTTAGAATTTCGGATTTTTTAGTTCGGATTACGGATTTTCGGATTTCGGTTATTTCGGTTCGGTTCGAATTGGTTTTTTTCAAAAATTTCGAATTTTCGGATCGGTTCGAATTTGACAAAATCCGAACCGAAAATCCGGATGCTCACCCCTACTTATTAGTGCAACATTTGATTTTCAATACGAGAATTTAAAAAATATTACTCCATTCGTCCGGAACTATAATCTTAATTGGATGAGATAAAAAATTTAAGATATATTGGTAGTGGATAAAAAGTATGGATAAAATTTTTTTTTGCCCCTATGAGTGTATTAGTGTAAAAAGTAATGGCAATTGTGTAGTAAAAATAAAAAAAATTGGAGTAATTTTATGATAATATGATTATTTATGAAAATAAGACTATTGTATTGGGACGAATGGATTATTAAAATAAAATAAATTGAGAATAATGTAATGTGATGTGATAAAAGTATAATTAATTATTTTTTATTTAAAAAATATTACAGAATATATAAAGCATATCAAAATAAAAAATATTACTCCCTCCGTTCCCCAGATACCATGTCCACGTTGCCGTTTCTGTCCGTCCCACATACCATGTCACTTTCCTTTTTTTTAAAAATGATTACACACTTTAATCTCATTTTAAATTTTTAAATTTTATTTTTTTAATTTTAATTAAACTAATTAGTTATCTTAATTTTAATTTATAATTATTTATATTATAGGATAATTATTTTTACTGATACATTTTTAATTATCTACTAATTACACTTCTCTTAAAATACAGTGTCGCAGACACGGTATCTGAAACAGAGAGAGTACAAAATATATTAAAAAATTATTATAAATAAATAACGTCAACATTTAATTTACGAGTACATATAAATGTAGCCTTATTTATAGGTGTAAGAAATGAAGATCGATATGAGCTATCACTCTACGATACTCTGCTGCTGCTGCTGCAGCAACAATACACGCACGTGCTCTTTCCCTTGCACACACATATTCATATTGTATTTTTTGTATATTTTAGATTTTATTTCACATTTTTTTATTTATAAGAAAAATTATTTGCGATTATTTGTATTGTATAATAATTATTTTTTTTTTAATACATTCTTAAAAATTTTACTGATTATATTTTTCTTAAACTTCTATGTATACTATAACTTAGACATATAATATGAGACAGACTAGTTTTGTACAAGAATAATTTATATATATATTGTCTAGTGTTTTTTATATTAGATCTAGATAAAAGTATCGATAATATAAAAAATAATACCGTCTTCGTCCACCACCGATCTATCTATTTGTATTTGAAATCATTGTTTTTAATATTAAAAATATTTTTATATTTGTATAATTTTTTGTACAAAAATTATTGCATTTGTATTATAAGACACCAATAGAAGTATTTTTGTCGTTTTTTTCTTCGATTTTTACTGTGTTTTTTGATATAATAATTAATATTCAAAGATTAACATGCAAAAAGTAAATAGATAGATTGGCGGTGGACGGAAGTAGTATTTTATGTTAAATTGTTAATTTATTTTATGAGTGATAGAATCTTTTAAACATTTTATAAAAAAAAATACTCCCTCCGTCCCGGTGCAAGGTTGCTTTGTACTTTTTGCACATATATTTTTTAATATTAGTATTATAATGAATTGTAGTGAAAAAGACAAAAATACCCCTATTTGTATTGTGTAATATAAAAGTAATGACATTTGTGTAATATAGTGAAGTTTGAAGGGTATTTATTATGTTAGATAGGTAGTATAATTATTAAATTAGGAAATAGTAACCTTATTTTGGGACATACGAAAATAGAAAATTGCAACCTTTCAATGAGACGGAGAAATACGGTGTTTTTTATTAAAAAAATATGTAAGGAAATTATTGAAAATTATGCATTTGGAAAGAACAGATCCATAGTATTTCGGTTTCAATTGAAAATATAAAATATTTTGAATAAGAATTATATTATATTTCCTCCTATCCAATTCAAAATGTATTTTTTTTTATCATTTTCATCTGTTTTATTTCAAAGTATCTATTTTTTATTTTAGAAAAAATAATCATACACTGATATTAAAATATTATTAATTTTTATTTAAATTACAAACATACTATTATATATACAATTACTTTATAGATAAAGTCAAAAGACAAAAATATCATAAACTCTTGCACACTTCTACCGATCAATAAAATACTTTTTTTTTTTTAAAGCTACTACAAAATCTCAATTGAATTGAGACAAATGGAATATAATTTATGCTTACATTAATAAATACTCTTTTTGTTCGCTAAATATATTCAATTTTTTTTATATTTACAAAGACATGTTCACATATTGTTTATGTTTTTATACGTTGCCATTTTTCATTTTGGTCTGTCCCAAAACAAAGTTACAATTTTTTAATTTAGTAATTGTACTTACATAACTAACATAATAAATACCCTTTCAACTTACACTATATTATACAAATGCCATTACTTTCATGTTATAAAATACTAATAGAGACATTTTTGTTCTTTTCACTGCAACTTATTATAATACTAATATTAAAAAATGAGTATATAATACTTTATCTTTGATAAAGTAGTTTATATATTTATTATGGTTTATACTCTCAAGATGTTTTGCATAAAATTGTATAGTTAACAATGTGTTCGGTTATAGGATTTTATCAAAATTCTACTATTCATCCAAAATTTTTCTCCCAAAAACATCAAATCAAACACTTGTTTTTTATTTTTTATATTATATTAAAAATCAATTTTACATTCAAAATATCACATCAACACCTATTTATATCACATCATACAACTATTCAAATTCAAAATTTTTACTATTCAAATTCCAATCCAAAATCCAAACCCCCAAACAAACACACCCTAAAATCACATAACAAATGGAATTTGACAATAACGAAATAATGGCGATGGAAGTGTGAATTGCAAATATTTTGTTAATAAAAATTGTATTCAAACAGTGTGAAAATTGTTAGGCAGATGTTAAAATGGCCGCCATACTAAGAACTCCTTATTTATTTATTTATTTATTTTTTTTATGTTAAAATTTTGTTTTTGATAATATTATTGTTGATATATATTTATGGTAATATATTAATATATATATATATATATATATGACGATATAATCCTAATTTTAATCAACAAATCAAGTTATTCCGTTTATCCAATATGATATTAGAGCCCCGACTTGTTCCCAAAATAATACAAAAACATTGTCCGTCCGTTCCTCCACCTTCCGGCAACCGTTGATCGTCACCGCCACCACTATCAGAAGCGCCGTGGCGAGACCGGCCAGCACCCGGAAAATCTCGGAAATCAGCGGCGCATGGAGGGCTCACACGCCTGACGAAATTTTTCGGCAAACGTCTCGCTGGCGCGTGGAGGCGCGTGCGGCGGAGGCTGCAGGAGTTTTTCGGACCGTCGCATTCGGTTTTTAATTTTCTGTCCGATAGTATTTTCAGATTTTCAGTTTGAGTAGTATTTCATAATCGTCTGATTTTTCTTGTTCCGGGTTCGATTCGAGCTCGATTCTGTCTTCTGTCTGTATTTCTGTCAATTTGATTTTCAGTTTGAGATATTGCATTTTTTTGGTATGGAAAAGGTGGATATTCATGTTCCGATAAATATTATTCTGTTGGGGGATAATTATAGTTTGTGGGCGCAATCAATGAGAAGTTTTCTAATAGGTAGGAAACTGTGGTGGATTCTTACTGGGTATATAGTTGCTCTCGTCGCTCCTATTTATATTGGAGAAGTTGCGCGTACATCTAAAGCTGTCGAATCATATATTGAGAAATTAGAGGATTGAGACAGTAAGAATCATCAAATCCTTACATGGCTACGTAATACATCTACTCTGGTGATACAGGTTCAACTTGCCCAATTTGAAACTCTGCTAGGGTAGCTTGGGATTTCTTGTCAGTCCGCTTCCGTACTATTGGTTTGGCACATTATTATCAGTTTTGGAGCACACTACATGGTCTAAAACAGGAACCGGGACAGTCTGTCAACGGCTTTCTTGCTCAGGTGCAACCCATTTGGCATCGGTTGGATCAGGCTGAGATCAGCCCTGATCATCTCTGTCTTATTCAGGTTTTGATGGCTTTGCGTCCAGAGTATGAGGCAGTTTGTGCCCTATTTGTTACATCAGCACCCGCTTCCTACACTGGATGGGGCTATTCAGGAGATTCTTTTTGAAGAAACTCGTCTTCACCTAGTCAAGGCTCCTCCGCCTGACTCTGCTCTTGCAGTCACTGCCCGAATTCCTACTCAGAGTCGTCAATTCTGCTGCAAACGATGTCAGTCCTCTGATTACGACTTCGGTCACTGCCCCAAGGTGGAGTGCCATTACTGCCATGTTTTAGGCCATACTATACAGTATTGCCCTATCAGGCCGTCCCGCTCTGGCAGCAGTAATTCCAAGCCTTGGCATGTTCGTAGACCTCCTCAGTCTAGTACCTCATTTGTCACAGCCTCTGCCACGCTTGCGCTTGTGCCTCCTACGATTCGGGACTTAGAGGCTCTCCTTAAATAGGTTCTATCGTCCAATACCGCCATGTCTACCACATCAGGTACCTCTCCTTGGTATTTTGATTTTGCTTGTAGTAATCATATGACCTCTGATATACGCCTTATGACCTCTATATCTACCGCATCATCTCTACCCCCTATCCTTACCGCAAATGGTACCCATATGCGCATCACCTATATTGGACACACATCCACCTCATCCTTATCCTTCCCTAACACCTACTATATTCCCCAATTAACCTTGAATATGATCTCAGTTGGTCAATTAGTTGATCAAGGTCTCACAATGATTTTCTCTTCTTCTGGTATGTAGGTTCAGGATGCGTAAACCGGGAGGACGCTCGGGAAGGGCCGGAAGACGAGCCGCTTATTTGAGCTTGAGTCACTTCAGCTCCCTCGTCCTTCTATTTTCAATAGGTTACGTATTTCTCATCATGTCACATTTTGGAAGAATACCGAGTTCTCTTCCTTATCCCATTTTCAAGTTCCCTTTAATCGTGCGTCTCCGTTCTTTACCTTGTCCTCTCCACCTCTATTTTCTTTCGACGACGCGGCTCCGTCCTTTGCTCCTGACGTTGTCCCGGTTACACCTCTTGAGTCCAACTGTCGCCTTACTCCGATGGATGGTGCCCCTTTTGATGATTCTACCTTATATTGTCAGCTGGTGGGAAACCTGATATATCTGACTGTTACTCAACCTACCATTGCCTATGTTGTTCATATCGTCAGTCAATTCATGTCCGCTCCTCGGACGACTCATTACTCTGCTGTTCTGCGGGTTCTTTGGTACGTCAAAGACACTCTCCTCTATGGTCTTCATTATTCAGCTCGCTCGTCCTTGGTTTTAACCGGGTACTCTGATGCTGATTGGGCGGGAGATCCCACCGATCATCGTTCGACTACTGGCTTTTGTTTCTTTCTCGGTGATTCGCTTATTTCTTGGCGCAGCAAGAATGAGACGGTCGTCTCCCGATCTAGTATGGAGTCCGAGTATTGAGCTCTTGCCGATACCACTTCCGAACTTCTATGGCTTCGATGGCTACTGACTGATCTCGGTGTGTCTCAGCCCTCTACTACCACTATCCATTGTGATAGTCAGAGTACCATGAAGATTTCGACGAATAATGTTTTTCATGAGCATACGAAACATATTGAGATCGTCTGTCATCTTGTATGTCATCACGTTGCTAACGGCAACGTCTCCTCGTCCTCCACTTCTTATGCTGATCAGACTGCTGATGGCTTCACCAAGCCTCGTTTATCCGATCGTTTTCAGTCATTCTTGAGCAAACTCAAGCTAGTTTCCACACTCCCACGTTGAGCTTGAGGGGAATGTTGATATATATTGTAATATATATATATATATACATTTATGGTAAAATATATCAATATATATATGACAATGTAACCCTAATTTTAATTAAAAAATCAAATTATTCCGTTTATTCCAACTCGACATTAATGTCTCTGACATTAATCTATCAAATAGTCAATTTATATTTGCATAAACAAAGCCGTTTTAATTGTTATCTCATGTAAAATATAACCATGAAGCTCACAAATGAGATAATGATATCTTATTAAAATATTTATTATTTAATTTATTCACTTGTTTAAAATATTATCTTTAATATTAGTTTATCTTAAAATATTAAAAATAAAAGAACATATAAAAATATTACAAGTGATAAACTTTTAATTGCATAATTCAATAAATAAATAAAAAATGTGTGAGTGTATTTGTTTATTTAATTTGATAGTAACGTAGGTCAGTAGATGTGATGTTCAAAATAAAATAGTGTGTGTTTTATAGAAAATGTTGCATAATAAAAATCAAATCAATTTTTTAAAGAACAAATTTTATACTATTGTAACAATATTATTGAATAATATCTGAGTTTATTTGCTCAACAAATTTTTTTTATACTATTTTCGATATATAATATACTCCGTATATTATTTTCTTTTTCAAAAAATTAACATTCAATATAAAATATTACTCCCCCTGTCTTTGCTCAACCTCAAGCAACCATTGAGCACATCTGGTTGCTTCGTTGACTATTGAAGGAAGTTTCTCCCTAATCCTTAACTTAGCCCACGGCTTCAGGCCCTCCAAGAATGTCAACAATGCTTCCTTCGGAGACATGTTCGGTACCTCCAGCAACAAGTCTGAAAATTTCTCAATGTAGTCCTTTAGGTGGCCTTCTCGATGCTCCAATCGACGAATCCTGCACCACGCCTCCTCCTCGCGCTTTAAGAGTCTCATTTACATTGTAATTAACATTAAAAATACTCTTATATTTGTATAATTTTTTTGCATAAATGTCATAATAATAGTATTATAAGACACTAATAGAAATATTTTTTTCATTTTTTTCTTGATTTGAACTACGTTGTTATATAATATTTATTTTAAAAAAATCAACGCACCAAAGATAAATGAGGCATTTAGAGCTGGACGTGGATAGTATTTTTTATACTGTATATGCATTTCTTATATATCTTTAAAAAAAAAAAAAAGAGTCAAAAACTTAAAAACTAATCAAATAAATATATCTATTATGAAAATATGCATATATATACATATATATTTATTATTGAAATTACAAATTTAAATAATCTACTTACTTTTGTATAAAATCAATATTTATTAATTTTCTTGAAATAATGATTGCAATGACATATGCGCGCCTACGTATAATACACAAATAATTGCAATCTCCACTCGTTGGTCTTCATTATATATATCCATTAGTTCCAAAGAATGACATCAGCAATAATACTACTTAAACTAAATTAAATTAAATTAAATTTAAATGTTATTGAAATGTTGGTATAAATTATTTATTTATTTTTATAGGGAAGAATTGAATAAGCAACCACCCTCACTAAGAAAATGACCCCTCGCCCAATCATTTATTCCCATTCTATTTATTTTATTTTTATTTCATTATATTTTATAATAATTTTTGTACGACACTTATTATAATATTTAATTTTTAAAATGCACTCATTGATATCAATATTATTTTATTGTATGGATTCAATTATTAATGCCTCGTTCATTATGAAGAAAAAGAAAAAAAATATGTATATTTATTTGTGTTTTCATATTAAGATTAAATCAAATAAAATATATGTGTAATGTTTCATTTAGTATAAATATAAATTATAAAATAAACGTAATGTAAATAATATTTTACATATTTATATTCCCTCCGTCCCATAAAGAAGTATCCATTTGCTTTTTGCACTTGGTTTTAGAAATATTAGTATTATATTGGGATATAGTAAGAATAAAGTAGAAAAGACTAAAATAACCTTATTAGTATGTGTGATATAAAGGTAATGGCATTTGTGTAATATATTGTAAGTTGTAAAGGTATTTGTAATGTTAGGTAGATAGTACAGTTACTAAAAAAAATGAATACTTTGTTATGAGACCGACTAAAATGAAAAAATTGATACTTTGTCATGGGACGGAAAGAGCAATTAGAATAGATGAGTTTTTTTTTTTTTTATTATTTTTTATTCTACGTGGAATTCAAAACACCAAATTTTATTATAGTAATTTTTTTTTTTAAAAAAAAATAGAAAATAAAAAGAAAAGATTCTTTAATTATCTATTTATTTTCTTTGGTAAATGATTGTGTTGAATGGGGCCCACCATATTTTGTGGCTCATTGGCTCCATAGATGGAATAATAATCCGAATTTTGAGTAATTTGCAATTTAACCCTATAATTCATCTTATTGTCAAAAGTTATAATTCATGAACTCGTTATCACAAGTTCACCCATATTACTTATCCATCTCTTAAAAAAAAAAAAAATAAAAAATTACTATTATTATAACAACGTGAGAAATTAGATTTTTTTTTTTTTTTTTAATGAGTGAGAACCCGTGCTGTTATACTAAAGTACGCACTGGATAAACCTCCGGTCGAACCTAATATCATATAAATTAGGCCCAACGAACAAATCACACTAATCAAACTATGTGTGGCAGGTGACCTGAGATACCTCACAAATCCAACCTCGCACTATCAGACCATCCCTTACAAGACAAATGGACACAAATAGGGATGTAGAAACTAAGGGCCCATTTGGATTGACTTCTGACATGAGCTGTTGGCTTTTTCAAATTATCCTTAATAATAATAATAATAATAAATACAATAATATAATATAATATAAAAATAAATAACTTATATATTATATTTTAATACAAATTTAAAAATATAATTAATTTATTATTTTTAATTTATGTACTATATTTGAATTCAAATTTAAAATTTAAATACCGAATGTAAATAGGAGTATATAATTTTTTAATTATACTTAAATTACTAAATATAATTTATAAAATTTTAAAATAAATTATAAAATATAAATTATATAATATTATACTGTAATTTTATGTTTAATTGATATATTATCTTTAAATTAAAATTTTAAAATATAAATAATCAAAATTTAATAGTATATTTTTTATACTTTAATTTAAAATATTTAAATATAATTTATAAAATTTAAATTAAATTATAAAAATGTTATAAAAAAATACTAGTATTATATTAACTACATGTCATTTTAAGTAATTTTAACAATTTAAAAACACTTTCAACTATACAACGTCCAAACAGTTTTTTACGAAAAACTGTTTTTATAATGATTTATCCAAAACACAAAATCAAAATCGAACTGCTTTTGGCTTCTGCTTATTTTTTAAGTCATTCCAATCGGGCCTAAAACAGACTAGTTACATAGCAATTTCTTACACCAAATTTTAACATAAATTTATTTTTTTAAATAAGTCTACAAATATATAGTACTATATTTTAACAAATACTTCATTATCTACCTAACATTACAAATACTCTTACATGCCATTACCTTTATATCACATATACTAATAAGGTTATTTTAGTCATTTCTATTTTATTACTGCTATATCCTAATATAATACTAATATTTCTAAAACTACTTGCAAAATGCAAATGAATATTTAGTTCCGAGACGGGGAGGGAGTATATAAAATCAAATCTACAACAAAATTCAACACTAAAATTACATTTATCCTTTGCTAGAAATACATACCAAGAAACAATGCATGCACCATAACCTGAAATTGCAATCTGCCTTCAACGGTTTCGACAACATTAATCGACGTTTCCCCGGGAAAATCTTGCAAGAACATTTAGAACGAAAAGCAATCCGCACCGGGATGACATATGTTCCGAAAGCCTGAAAGGAAATCTTAGAGAAGTAATTCAATGCAGCTTCCGGCAACTTTTGCGCAGATTCCAGCATGCTTATGTTGAAATGATTCTTTGATGTCGACCAGGTAATAGTCAAAACTTAAATGTAATTAGACAGATATGCAGCCTTAGTGCAATTTGTCAAATTTACCAACCTTGCCGGCGGAGCAGATTCTGATAAATTATCCGTTTGATTCTCTTGGAGTTGTCGGAAGGTTAACTCTGTATTTGATGTTGTCCTTGAATATCATATGGAGCTGGAGGAAGCTGAGGCCCTGCTGTTCCGGGAGCATGATTAGAACCTGAATCGAAATTTCCCTGTTCCACATATAGAACCGTTATAATTGGTGCAGATGTTGCAAAAACTAGAGAATTTTATATCAGGAATCATGTCGACGACAAACTTGAGCAGCAGAGAAAAGTTAAGAAGGTTTGTATTTCAATAAGTTAGAGAAAATTGTAAAAAAATATCCACACGTATACCTCATTATCATTTTTGTCCTGTATTTATCTCGTTGGCAAAATATATCCTATATGTTTGCAAAAGTCGCTATTTCTGTCATTTTGCTGCGCGTGACTTTCATACCACGCGTGATCACGAGCGGTCAAAGGATAAAAATAGCGCTTTTTGCAAATATATAAGATATATTTTTCCTGCTAGATAAATATATGACAAAAGTGATAATGGGGTATATGTGTGAGATATTTTTTGCAAATTTCCCCAATAAGTTAACATAAGGTCGTCTATTTCCCAATCACTGGATGCATACAGTATAACCTATATATTGTATGACAGCACAAAATTGAAACTTGCTTAAACAGTAGGTGCACGAATTGAAGAATAACCAAAAGTTTGTTAATTCAGAACCAATTTACCCAAAAATAAACAATTTTATCAGTGTAGGTTAGATGAATCGTACAGGACCACTACTTATGCAATGCATCCACAGGTATTTCTGGGATAAGTCCGAGTTATAAGAAACTCCGATGCAGGAAACCCAATCTACAATTCTAAAATAAGAAATTGATTTCTAGTTACAATGCATGTTGTGAGAGGAAGAAGAGAGCGATAAAAAAGAACATTCGATAATTATAAGATAAGAAAATTGATTTACAATGCATCTTGCAACAGGAAAAAGAGATCAATAAAGGAGAAAATTTTGACAATTCTAAAATAAGAAAATGATTTGAGAGTTACAATGCATGCTTCGAGAGGAAGAGAACAATAAAGGGAAAGTTTGACAGCATCTAAGCATGAATTCCATGGTTGCTGATGAGACTAGGTTTCAAATTTCAATCGATAGTTAACTTGTAGCACTTACGACGTTATTTGGTTTAGTGCTACCCCATTATGCTAACATTAACAATTTGACTCGCTGAAACTCAATTTTAAAAATGAAAATAGTCAGTATACAGACCTGATGAACAGCATGAGGATCAGACGATGGAGCTCCGCCATATAATGGTTCGGGATTTGTCTGGTGAGCAGCATATCCAAGATCTGATAGAAAACAAGCTTATGTCCATATGCGAAAAAAAATCGATTAAACGGACACAGGAACGACATTTTCCAGAATTTGTTACCTTGGTTGGCAGATGAGATTGCTCCTGAGGTGGCCTCTGCTGCCCTTTTCTCTACTTCTCCAAGTTCAGATCGTAATTTTTCTGCTTCCTGGGTCATGGAATTCAGGTGCTTCTCCATCACTTCACCGACTTTCGCATGGTGGGCGTGCAACTTTATTTCATATTCAATTGCAAACCTTTTCAACAAGCACAATTAGAAAAGGTGTGATGCCATTATTCTCCCAAATAATTGGCAGCAACATTAAAAGAGTGAGAAAAGCAGAACAAAAAATTCTAACAATGTATGCCACATTAAAAGACCACCGATCAATATTGTTACCAATCATATAGAATTTATATATGCTGTGCTGAAACAAATGTAAAACATTATAAACAGAGAAAATACTAAAATCAAGGATAGGATATGACTGCATAAAGTGACACTTAACTATGCATACAGCATTATGACATTATCATATCCTTAGATGTGTTTGACGGGTCTTCTATATATTGAATTAAAACAAAATATAAACTGCAGCCACTGGGTGTTAGATTTACCCTCAGTCCTTATGCCATGGAAAATAGCCTAAGTCGTATACCCCTTATATATCTACACCCAAAGATAATTAGATTGTTCAGCCTTCTTGCAAACTGAACATTCAGAGTTCACCACTATCGACCTATTACATTTCATTGACCAATTGAACAATTGAATCTACCCCCACTATTACGGATCGTTTTGTATGCAATAGGAAATCAAATCTTTTCATGAAGGCAACCACAATGTCTATTTTTCTAGCACATTACTTAATCAGTTTCCCAGGTCAGTAAATTTCCCAACTCTCTTTCTTTTATTCTTGATTTTCGATTGGTTAGACACAAGTCACAAGAGCATCTGATTAACTGTATTTGGCACATAGAGTTAGCCACAATTGTACATTCTAAGAACACTTCTCCTTCAGATCAATGACTCTAAGTTCAAGCCCAAAACTATAGGTAGGGTTGAGTTAGAACACAGTACACAAAACCCGATTAGAGAACAACTTATAAGGTCACAAAATAAGCAACACCATCAATTCAATCTCTTTCTCACTCTTTAGTTTCTGTAGTGATGCTTCTTACACAATAAAGCCCCCGTTTTCATTTCTACTTTTGCAGTCAAGTAGGATTCATGAAATCATTCCCTGTGATCTCATATTTCTCATCTTACATTCACTAAAGCACTTGGTATACAATTAAACAATCCATAATTTTCTAACCCCAAATACAAAATATCATCAAAGTAAGGATATGTCATGTGTCGACGGAGACAAATATGTTATAGAGCTTCCATAAAGACTCCCAATTTATCAATGTGTTTCCGCTTTCGATACTCAACAGATGACAACACAAGACCTTTCTTCCCAATGTTTTAATAAGACATTTAGTGCCTTCAACTCAAAACTTGAATACTAAGTTCAATATAACTTTGCTCTATCCAAATCATATTAGGGTTTATGATTGAAATCCAAGAATTCTCCCACATTCAAACGAATCAATGCATAACAGCAGCATTCAATAAAAATTTATCCCAAATAACATTGAGCATCACAATGGGGGAATTTTAAATCTCAGATACAGATGGATCCAATTACCAAAAAAGGGGTAAATTCAGCATTATACCTTCCTCGTTGAATTTCCATGGCGGCGTCTTCAATCACGGCCTTGAGTTGAGGTAGTTGCTGCAACTCCGACTTGGCTTTCGCAATATCTCCATCAATTTGAGTGATCTTCTCATAGAGCTCCTTCCGCTCCGCCACACGTTCCTTAATCTCCGCCCTAACTCGATCGAGCTCCGCGGCGCGGCTCCCAACCGGCACTGACTCCGCCTCCAATTTCTGGTAACGCTCGTAGACCTCGCGCACTTGAGCGTCCTTCTCGGCCTTGACGGAGGCAGCGGTGGCGGAGAGACGTCGAATTTCCTGCTGGATATCCGCCACGTCCTGCTTCAGCGCGACGTGACTTGAGGCGAGGCGCTGATTGTCGGCGATGAGGGCTTGGATCTCGTGGGTCTGTGCGGCGATGCGTTCCTCCATTGGATGGAGGTCTGGAGGGGTTGAATCGGTTTGCTGGTGGTGGCGGCGGCGGCGGCGGTGGGCCGGGGCAGCGGATGGATTGTGGCGGCGTCCCATGCTCACAGAACCACTGACGCACAGTGTTCCATGACTGCTTTTCGGCTTTTCCTGCAAATTTAGGATATTTTTTTTTTTTTAAAAAAGACTAATTTAGTAACGTTAATTCTTCTAAAATTCATATATCTCAATATATTTTCTTGTTCAGTCTCAACATATAATTTTATTCCTAACAATTCCATACTCCTATCTAATTAGTCCGTATTTGTAAATTTAACTTTAAAATTCCAATTATGCCATTCATATATTTTTTTTATTTACTTTATTATCGTACTCATATCAACTTCTAAAATTATTTTATTTGTTCAAATCTGCCGTAATTCAATTTTGTTTATATTCAATGATCGATAATAAAAACTTATATTTTAATTTTTACACACGAAAAATGAAAATAATAGTTTAATGTTTGAAAATTTTTCTCCAAACTAATTTATCATCACTTTCAGATGACAACCGATAACAAATTTCCCCCAACCACCAAAGATGCAAGCACCAACACCAACTCAAACCAACATGACCACAATCGACCACAAACATCACATCGAAATCGAATCAACACCCAAGTGACTATGTTGATTTATGTTAGACATCTAACTTTAGTTTTAATAGTATAAATTATATTTGCATTTTTTATAAATGCAAATAAACTTACAAAAATTATGTTTAAAAAATATATAATCGCAAAGATAAGTTGCATCAAATCGAAACGAGGATATTATATTGTTTGTTCTTTTCATATGAGAAAAACATATTTTTTAAAACAAAGTTATGTACTTTTCGAATTCATTTTAATACTTTATTGTAGAGTAACTAGTATTTCTACAGGGTATTTGAAATATCTATTTTTTTTATCTTATACAAACTTTAGTCGATCAAAACAAAAATTTTTTATAAATATTTTACATTATGATTTAAGGATTGCCTTTATTTTTTAAGAATTTTTGTCAACATTGTATCGAATCAAATGATTTATTGTCGAACGATAATTTCAAAATTGATCACCACACACACACTTTAAAGTATTAGTATTTACTCTATACTTATCTTCTACCCTTGTAGATGAATTAAAATTTGTAAATTTATATTGAGAATAAACGCAAATAAATTTACAAATATTAAGTCGCAAATATATATCATCGCAACGATGAATTGCATCGAGTTGAATGGAGGTTATGGTGTCATTTGTAGTCTAATACGAGACAAATATATTTTTTAATACAAAATTTTGTATTTTCTGAATTTTCTTTTTATACTTTGTTGTTGAGTAATCAGTACTTCTACAAGGTATCTGAAATACTTATATTTTTGCCTTACATGAACTTTAATAGGTTGAGACCAATATTTTTTATAAGTATTTTGTATTGTGATTTAAATGTGTCATTATTTTTTTCAAAAAATCTTATCGTTATTTGTCGTGTAATACTTTCAAACTTGAGCACCAAATATTTTTTACTTCAAAAATATATAGTGTTAACTTGATTCTTATATTTTGTTATTGTGTGCCATAAACCCCAATGAATAAATTAAAATTTGTAAACTTAGAAGAGTTGTGTCGAAAAACTTACTATAGCAATGGTGAATTACATCGAGTCGAAAATGCTTTTGGATGGCGTTTGTACTTTTCGTATGAAAAAAAAAAAAAACATACTTTTTAAAACAAATTTACGTACTTTTTGAATTATTTTTAATACTTTATTGTTGAACAACTAATACTTTTTATAAAGTGTTTGAAATAAATATTTTTCGCGTTATATGAATTTTAGTTGGTCGAGACCAATATTTTTTATAAATATTTTGTATTGCGATTTAAGTATTGTCGTTAATTTTTAAGAATTTTACTCATTATTGTATCAAATCACTTGACTTATTGTCGGACCATGCTTTTTAAGATTGAACACCATACTTTTTTTACTTCAAAGATATTACGGTTTACTTATTCTTATATTCCACTATTGTACAATAAAACTCAATTGATGAATGAAATTTATAAGCAACATCGACAATAAACACAAATAAAATTATATGAATTGTGTCAAAAAAATATATCATTACAATGATGAATTGCATCGAACCGAAAGAAGGTTATGGTGTCATAGTTACTTTTTATATGTAAGAAAGATACTTTCTAAAACAAAATTTTGTACTTTTCACATTTATATTTAATGTTTTATTGTTGAATATTCAGTACTTTTATAATCTTGTTTGTACTTTTCATATTAAAAAAAAAATATACTTTTTAAAATAAAGTTTTATACTTTTCGAATTCAAAGTTAATATTGTATGGTAAAACAACAAATACTTATAAAACATATTTGAAATATATTTTTTGTCTTACACAAATTTTAGTAAGTTGAAATTAATATATATATATATTTTATATAAATATCACATTGCGATTTAAATGTATAAATTATTTTTAAGAATTATTTTCATATTTGTATTGAATCAAATGATAATAAACGCACAAAAAATTATAAAAGTTACCACTACAATAGTGAATTTCATTGAATTGAAATAAAGTTATGATACAATTTGTATTTTTCATATGAGAAAAACATATGTTTTCTAAAAAAAAAAAAAGTATTTTTTTGAATTAAAACATAATGAATTAAATATCACAACTTAATAAAAAAAAAAATACAACACTCCCAGTAAATTTAAAGGTAGTTATTTGCTACATAACCAAATAAATAAATAATATAACAATTAAGTTAAAAAAAACCTAACACTATGAAATTTATAAATCAAAATATTTGTATAATTTAAAAATTACATATTCTAGATCTACGGAAATTTTTATTATCAAATATTGTGGTCGTTCTAGTTGTTTCCGCCACCGATGGTATTTTTCGTTTATGGTGGTTGATTTTATTATTAGTTATTTTTATTTTCTTCACCATAAGAATTTTTAAAAAAATTAGAGACCTATTTTATGAAATTGGGAAAAATGATTAAAAAAATTAATGGAAATAAATAAGAGCATTGTGGTCTTTTAAATAAATAGGAAGTGAAAAAAAAGAAAACTATAAAAATAGAGAGTAAAAAAAAAAAAATTTACATATAGGAGATAAATAAAAATTTGTAATAAGAAATAGAAATTTTATTGAAAATTGCCCACTTCATAATAATAATAAATTTTAAGTAAATTAATGATAATATATTATCAAACTTAGAGTTTGAATTTTATATAAATCGTATTTTTAAAATAAAAGTTAATATATATTTAAATATTTTAAATATTATATCTTAATAAAATACTATAAATTATATAAATATTATTTTATAAAAAATAAAATTATAAATATAATTAAATAAAAAATATTTTTATAATTAATAGTATAAATTAATTTTATAAAAAAGTTTGAAAAATTTTAAATATAAATACAAATATTGGTTAAAGATAGAAATAAAAATAATCTTTGACTAAAGCATAAACAAAATTAAAAATTTAATTAAATTAATTTATATTTATAAATATATTTAATATTGATAAGTTTATAAAAATAAAAATTTCTAACTATTATGGACACACTAAAACAAAAATTGTGTCCATTTGCCACTGCTGTGAAGTCCACCTGCCACGTGTGACATATTTATTAGACTTGCCTTTCCAAAATGTTTGTTGTGCGAATTTATTTTATTTTGACTCGGCAAGAAAATCCTCGAGGAGGTCATGGTTTCAAACGGTCTTTCACCTATCACATATGATCCGTCTAGTGTGATTTACTATAAGTTTAGTTTGCATGATATTAGACTCGACCCGAAATTTAAGCAGTGCGCACTTTTAGCAATTTTCTTTCTAATGATTCTATAAGTTGTGAATGACATGGATGCTTGTTACCAAAATAGTAATAAAAGTAAACTATTTTTTTTGTCCCGACCCGTAGAACATGTCACAAACCAATCTCATAAGTGAAAAATTTTCGTTGTTTTAGTCCTTCATCGCTGGAGACGCCTGCGTAGCTCGCCGAAAGCCACGTGTCCGCTAAGTGTCCCGCTACGTCAACGACACCTGAATTTTATTTTTCATTTTTTTTTTATAATTTTGTAATTCTTTTTTTAATTGGACCAAATTAAGAAAACAAAAAAATTAAAAAAATAATAATAAATAAAATCCACGTATCCGGACACGTGGCCTCCGGCGAGCCACGCGAGTGTCTCCGGCGCCGGAAGATTAAAATAACGAAAAATTTTCACTTATGAGACTAGTTTGCAACCGACTTTACTTATGGGACTAAAATGACAAGGGGTCTAGTTACGGAAAAAAAAAAAAAAAAAACAGTTTACCTTAGTAATAATAATAATAATAATAATAATAATAATGTATGCTCAAATATCATACAAATATAATAAGATACACCAATTTTTACACGATCCACTTAAACTACCAAAATAAACTTTTTTAAAAAAACTAATATCCAACATATTATTTATTTTTCCCCCTAATCTTAAATGACAGAACATGTGGCTTCATTAATATCTAATGAGAATTATGAGATGGGATAAAGCAAACCTCAAACACAATCCCGTCGCCTCATCAAGAAAGTATAAATATCCATCAATGTTAGTGCAAAAATTCCATTCCAAATCTTAATATATTCTTGACAACTAAATGAGAAAAATGAATCAATAATATGCCTTCATCATAATATGTTAAGCATGCCAACTCCATCATCTTTCAAGTAGCTCTTGTAAATCCTTAAGAACAAAAAAAAAAAAAAAATGTTTTAAGAAAAAGCCGCAGCAAATCAATTCTTGAACTTGAAGATACCGATGAATTAACCAAACCAAGCACGAAGATTTGACTATGACACAGCTCCATAAACTAATAATAAATAGTTTATTTCTAAAACATGCTCGAAAAGACACTGAACTTCATATCTTTCTCTAGAAAGAGTAATGCAAGTGTGAAATAACTGTAGGTATGAATTTGTGTTCTAACCTTTTCGTGCGTGCAGCATAGAGTTTGTGCTCTTCAGATATTCGATAACAGCCTTACTGGGAGCTCGGGTTTTCAGCAACATTTCTTCATACTCATCGTTGGTATTTGAAAGAGCTGTGATGGCGCCTCCAGCTCCAATGGAAGCCTCACCTTCATGTACAACAATAGTCCTGATGACTATATTCAGATCAAATGTTTGGTTGTACGAGAAATACCCGATGCATCCAGAGTAAACGCCTCTTGAAGTACTTTCCAGTGAGTCCAGAATTTCCATTGATCTCAACTTTGGTGCACCAGTCATTGACCCGCCGGGAAATGCTGCCTGGACACAGTCGACAGCGCTGACATTTGATCTTTTTTTCCCTTGTATTGTACTTACCATAGTGTGGACAGTAGCATATGATTCGATTTCCATCAGATGTGGCACATGAATAGAGCCTGGCTCACAAACCCGCCCCAGGTCATTCCTCAGAAGATCGACAATCATTAAGTTTTCAGCTTGATCTTTCTCACTGTAGATGATTGTAAGAGTCAAGACCCATCTTAACAAGAACCTCAAACACATATTCGATCAAAATAAAGATTGGGTATTGAAACAGTCAGAACTCTGGATTCCCAAATGTGCAAAAAAAAAAAAAAAAAAAAATTTTCAAAGAAAAAGTTAAACAAAACAGCCCCTCATGTTTAAAAACCTGCAATTTACTTCCATAATATGGTTTCTTTTAGTTTTGTGGTGGGTTTATTTGGAGCTTTTACTAAATATAAGGGGACTCGACAATACATATTTTTTTATAGGAATTGTTTAAAATATTTCATACTTCATCACTGGTAATGTTCAATTTATCCATATACTTGAGCTGTTATAAGTCAATTTGAAAAAGTCACAGATTCATTACCTGTGCTGCAGCTGTAGCTTGTGTAGTTCATCTTCCTTCGGAGATGCTCCACGAGCTATAGTTCCTTTGATGGGCTTTGCTTCTAGGATGCCATTCCGGTCCAACCGAAGAAATCTCTCAGGTGAAGAACAGAAAATGCATAAATTTTGTTTGGAAAAATTAAGCCAAGCAGCATAGGGAGCTGGATTTTTTTCCCGGAGATTAAGATAAAGTCCCAGGGGTTGTATTTCGCCTAATCTCTTTCTCATCTGCGTTGTGAGACACAACTCATAGCTCTCTCCATCTTTTATGTATTTCTGACAAGTTTCAACATCCTTGATGTATTGCTCCCTCGATTTCTCAACTGAAAACCCTTCACCTTCTGAATGTTCCAAGGAAAATCCAGATTCCCGAGATAAGGATTTTCCAGGGGGACAACCTTTCATCTCAAGAAGTTTCAACTCAGTGTCATCTAACCAGGGAGTTTCAATGATATTCTCATCGTGTAATGACATAACATAAATATCATCACATTGATGATCTATTACAATAAGATTATCTGTAAAGAAAAGACAAGCATCAGGGGTGCTTGATTTGTGGCAATTTGAGGAAGCCCCGCATTCAATTTTTAGGTCATACCTGCATTCGAGAAATACAATCATATTGTTTAGTAAGCATGTCACTAATAAAATAAGGGAATAAGATGAAGAACTCAATTAAGTCAGAAAGGAGGGAGATATGTCATGATCAGGATACATGCAAACCTAATTTGAATCTGGAAAAACTAGAATGTCGTCTATCCAGCACATAGAGAGTATATAATGCATGTTTATACTTCATAGGTGTTAAGAAGGAATCCGGATATCCAACCTAAAACCAATTAGTGATAGGTGGAGTGGCCCTTCACCCTTATATACTAGGGGAGATCCCACACATTTAGCAATGTGAGACAATATTCAACACTCCCCCCCTGAAATGATAATCTCAAAAATCCATACTGGATCCAAACCCAATACGAACACTATGGCTCTGATACCATGTTAAAAAGAGATCCGGGCATCCAACCTAAAACTAACTGGTGATAGGTGGAGTGGCCTTTCACCCTTATATACTAGGGGAGATCCCACACATTTAGCAAATGTGGAACAATATTCACAATAGGCACTAGAAATTTTTAAGGGATCCATCATATGTTTTATACAGTGCATGTGAAATGTTATTCAAACTCAGGCTAACTTGCAGTAGAGGAATTATGTTAAACATATGCTTCTTTGTTCCATGGATAAAGAAAGTTTCCATAATTCAATTTGGTACAATTGCATCTGGGAGAGTAACAAACAAGAGAAACAATTGAGTTTTGCATGGTATGCAAAATAAATCTGGGGCCACCTATTTTCAGGATCCCTTCAAGAATTTTAAACTACAAAATAATCTTCATTTGTTAAAAAAAAATAAAGGAGAGATGGAATTTCTGTGATTCAGAGAGATTCCAAGAAATATATGATTGTCTCAGAATGTATAGGTATGTCTATTCAAATGCAATAAGAACATAAAATGAGCAGACATAATTTCAAAAGCCCTGAATTGGGTACTACAAATATGCTTGTTTCCTTCTACTAAAAAATTGCACAAAAATTGAATATTTTTAAAAATAATCGAATCTAATATGGAAGTATTGAACACGGTAAGTTTATGGTGTTCCTCACCCAACAATAACAAGATATCAAACACAGTATGTCAAATAAGAACAAAAGAAGACGTGAACATGTATGCAGATGATGAAAGAGCTAGCATACCCGATGTAACCAATAAAGCCACCATAGAAATCAAAAGGCAATCCTTCATACTCTTTTTCATCATAGCGAAACGACGCAAGCTCCTAAAAACATCGGTCAAAAGTAACTGCATGAACTTGATATATTCAAAATTATATGCATGCCAACTGAATAAAATTTTAATAGAGATAATCGAAGGACCAAACTAAGTAGCCCAATATGTAAATCACTTTACAACAAGAATGTTGAGTGACCTAGATCACTAAATTAGAACTAGATTTGTATACTTAAATAGGGGGGAATATTATTTTAAATCACTCCAAGAGAAAAAGAAAAGAGAATACACTTAATTGGTAGATCATCTGTCTAACAAATAAAATCTAGTATCTAATCATAATAATCCTACAAGAGAAAATTGCAAAAAATATCCTTCACGTATATACTCAATTATCACTTTTGTCATTTATTTATATCGTTAGCAAAATATATCCTACATGCTTGCAAAAGTTGCCATTTAGGTCCTCTGACCGCCCGTCGTAGCCGGAGGACAGAAATGACGACTTTTGCAAACGTAAAGGATATATTTTGCCAACGTGATAAATATTAAAATTGTAATAGTGTGTTTGATTCATGGAAGGGAAGGGATGAGATGTGAAATAAAATAGTATTTTTGTATTTTGTTAGGTAGGAAAGAGAAAGGAAAATAGAATAATTTTACTATTTTGCTCATGATATTATATAGATAAAGAAAAATAAAGTATTTAATAAAAAAAACATCTTTTTCTCCCCTCCAAATTCCCCCAATTTTGAGGAAAATCAAAATAAGTTCATTTTATATTCCCTGTCCTCCCTTCCCTTTTCTACTTTAAAAAAAATAGAACCAACGAAGTAATTGTAATATTTTTTCCTTCCCCTCCCCTCCCTTGTCCATTCTCCTCAAACCAAATAGACCCTAAGAGGCATCAAAGACTTGTTGGAAAGTTGAACTATTTGACAATAACTCGCCCTAATATTTCATTTGCAGTTATTCTCATAAGTCAATTTATGAATTCACTTATAATTAATCATTGGTCCTCGCTAGAGCAACTATTTTGTTACTAAAAATGAGCATTGGGGTGAGGTCTATCCTACTTCAGACATGGTCATCACTCTAAAATTGAATGCTTTCTCATGCAAACTATGTTTAGTGTAAAGATGATATGAGGTTTACTTTAGAATATTGTGTTTTTGTAGGAGGCAATTTTGTATTTTGGCGAAAGAAACAAAACAGTCTCGTGATCTATAGTTAAAGCTTAATGTTGTCATGGAAGAATTTGTCCATGCAATGATATGGATTCAATAATTTATAGAGAGAGATTAGCCACAAACTTGATCTTCCAGCAAAACTAAAGTGTGACAACCAAGCCACCTTACAAATTGCATCTATCTAGCATTCCATGAAGGCATAAAGCGTACTGAAGTCAACTGTCAAATTGTTCTTGGCAAAGCCCTAGAAGGATTTATCTCTATGAGATATGTCAAGTTCGAAGATCAGCTTGGAGATGATTCACTAAAGTATTCAATGAAGTAAGATCAACTACTTTGTAACAAGTTGGCGATAATAAATATATGTAGTCCTACTTGACAGGGGACTGTTGACTGTATAGATAAACATTGGTCTAGATAAAGTTAGATTAGGATAGGAACATTGTAGATAAGAGTTTGATAAGTAATCGGGTTATTATCTATGCATGTGTGTGTAAACCCATCCATAGTTGCTAATCTCGGACAGTGTTACATAACGATCAACCTTTAAAATGCTATGACGGGTAGCAGAACGACCGCAATTTAAAATTTTCAGAATAATATTATTATATATACAAATTTACAATAATTTCTTTTCTATAGATTAATCTCATGATTAGCATTTAAACCAATAAAATTGCATAAAATATATAATCATAAATAATTATATAAGGAAAAACAACTAGATCACAACTACTATGAGGTATAGACAATCAAAATTAATAAGGTTCAAAATCCGATAAATAATTTTCTTTCTAATTTTTACTATCCACACTGCTACTTTTGTATAAATATTTTCTATTCTTCATTGTCTGTTCGTTGCATTGCATAATATTCTACATTGCACAATATTTTTTCCTTTCTAGAACTAATAGTAGCTATAATATACTAATCCCTCCGTCCACCAAATGTATGCTCATTTGGGTTGAACATGAGTTTTAATAAATACAGTATTATATTAATTGATTGTGACATAAAGTAGAGGTATTTTGAGAAATATATGAGTGAGTTAATGAAGTGAAAGAAAGTTCTGATAGATTGAATATGTAAGTAGTTGTGGCATTTTTGTAAATAAATGTAATGTTGAACGGTATAAATTAAGAAGTACGTAGAGGTTATTTGTTATAAATAAAAAATGCATAACTTTTGTGGACAAACAAAAAAAGAAAACTCTTTTTTGTTTGTCCACAAAACTTTTGAGTTTTTCTTTTTCTATTTGTCCACAAAAAATATGCACTTTTCATTTTTAGCAAATAACTCTTACACACTCTTTTTTTTATACCCTTCAATATTCTACCTATTTACATATATGCCACCAACATCTACACACTCAATGTATCCAAAATTGTCTTTCACCTTATTAACTCACCCATATACTTACCAAAATACCTTTACTTTATATCACAATCAACCAATATAATATTATATTATTTAAATCTAGTGTTCAGCTCATATGAACATATATTTCATGGATGGAGGTAGTAGTATGAGTGTGTTTGTTTGGAGAATGTTGGAAAAAATAATTTTATGTGAAGTATAGAAATCGTATATTTTTGGAAAAAACGTAAGAGAGAAAAATTAGGAAGAACAAAGCCATAAATTCTACATTTATCAGATAACAAATATGCTCTTATAATAAAGATAAGTGTTCCACTCAGCTTTTCTCCGCACTGCTAAAAGTCGCTATGCCGCTATTGAGTAAAGGCGGCATCGCAGACCGGCGGTAGCGGTGGATTGTTGCTCCATTCCGCTACACCACTATTAGTGCTATTGACAACTATGAACTACCTTGCAAAAGTTGAATTGTATTGACATATTAACGCTAACTATTTTAGCCTGTCTTGTTGCTTGTTTATTAGTAACAGCAGTAGTTGATGCTTAGATTAATCCAAAATAATTAGTGGGCAAATAATCAGAAGTGAGAAAATATCCACATTCAAGACCTTCTAAATAATTTGTTCCAGTTATGCTTCAAGAAAGTTGTGCTAGAAGAGGGCGGCAGAATAATAAGTTGCGCAAAATACATGAAGTGAATCCCTTGAAAGTTCACAACTTAACCAGAATGTAGGTTCCAGTAGGCAAAACAAATAGAACCACTACTTTAGATTGACAAAAATGTAATTTCGAAAATTTCTCACATATTAAGGAATGATTTAAAATTTCTCACATATTAAGGAATGATTTACTATTACTACGATAACCTGATTAAACAAAATGATACTAATATGGATAGTGAGAGAAACGAAAGGAAATCCAGAAGTCCAAGTATATGATTATCACAAAATCACATTTTTGCACTTGAAACTCTGGTCACTTTTGTTTCTAAAATGATGTTTTGGCAGATGGTGAGAATAGTATATCTATCAGATATCATCAACAAGGAAATGTGTCATCTATAATCTATTCCCAAGTAAAAAGGAATTCTTGTGGCTTTAAAGAAAGTGTGCATGTGGTTATATACACATTCAGTAATTAAATAAGATCGGTCAATTACCTTGTTCAAAAAGTTAAAAAATCCATCCTCCAAATATAGACTTGTAATAGAACCCTCAGAATCTTCAATTGATAGATAGCCTCCATTATTATGTGCCATATTACTGCAAACATCAAAATCTAAAACTCAGATCAATAGTAAAGAATGAAAGTCAAAATAGATCTTGCAAATACATGTGACTAGAACCTGTTGTTTGACAATCTAAATGTCAGTTGTCTCCATAGAGGCCCACCTTTACCACCCATAAAAGAAAAGCGTGCTCTGATCTACAAACACAAGAAGGTTTGTTTTCAGAAACATAAACTGAAACTTGGCATCCTCGTAGAAAACTCAGCCCTCCCTGCCTCTCTCTATGTATATAGAGATATGTATATGCTAGCATATGCACATCATGTTCTATTAGTTGCTACCAGAAGGGTTTGTGCAAGGAAATTCAGAGAGGATGAAGGAGAAAAAGAACCGGTTCTGTTGAGGAACTATCGAGCCAATATGTGTTTCCAGGATCTTGTTTTCCAAACAGCTCACAGAATATGCTTGCAGCTCCACCAACTTGGCTCACAGAACATTCAACTTTTCTCCATTTTAACTTGAGAGACGCTGCAATTCTTGACTGTGAGGAGTTAATCGAGTTACCATTGCTCACATGCTTCTTGTCATTACGATTCACCAAATGCTTCCTCCTGGAAACATTTTGGAACAATTGAGCTCCATTAGGCACCTGCATGCATGCTAAGCAAAGTTCCCTGCTCAGAGTGACAGAAATGACACTAACATGGACATGGACTCCACTAGTTATTGCTTTCCAGTATTTATACCATGAATACCATCCAAAAGAATATATTTATAGACATGTTTTTTCCCTAGTTATTTTTACAACTCAAAGTAAGAAATCCATGGAAAAGAGCCACATGGTGTGTTTGAAGTAGATTACCAGCATAATGAACATTCCTCTCTCTATTCAACGTTGACCTTAATCCAAACCAGTAGGTCTTCGTGATATCAGCAAAATTTTTTAATATTTGCCTCCCATGACATGTAGCAATGCTCTCTGGATGGAACTGGATTGAAGATTAAGTCAATTGATTTGAGGAGGAAATACCTAAGAAAAATCACACCACGTAATCCAAATTCAGGATGATTATTAACCTGCAAACCATAATGAGGCCTATTGGAGTGCATAATACCCATGAGAAGTTTGTCACTTTGTGGAACAACTTGACTTTCATATCCATTGAGGTAGGAATCAGAGTTTTTGATTCCGAGAAAGGTGTTGTTTTCAGATGAAGTCCAGGCTATAGGTATAAGCTCTGTGGGAAGTGTGTATTGGTCTATTACAAGGGAGTGATACCGGACAACCTGCATCAAGTCAACTCACAAAATATTAAAACTGATTTGTCAATTCGAATCTCATGTGGGAGTTACGGTATATGATATTAATAATTTATAAGATTAGATGGAATCAAACAAATACCACATATTTCTTTTACAATGAATGGTAGGGTACAAGCCATGGAAACAAATAATATGTGTGTGTGTGTGTGTGTATGCATGAGGCAAGTCTTCAAACTAAACTATCAAGTAAATTAACGCTCAGGAGCAATGTGAAATCTATGAGATATCAGTATGTTGATAAAATAATTTGGTATGGCTGAAGATATGATGAGTCACTTTCACTGTATTGAATTGACCTTAAATCCGGAATTTTGTCCTGAAGGAATCCCATGGAATAGTCCACAGTTGTTATGCTCGATTTCACTGCAAGAATTAAAAAGAAAACAATCACATGAAAGTCAAAAACATAAATAACACCATTTCCTTACCCATTAATGGAAAAACAACTTCATAGCTTAGAGTTCAGAATCTAACTTTTCATTTTAAACACCCTCAATTGGAATATGTGGGATTTGACTCATAAGCACCTCCATCCATGAGAATTGTATAAATCACCCTACCAGAGCAATACCTTGTAGCTAACCATGCCTAAAGAAAAACATGAAATACAAACTTATCTTACCTCAAGCGTCCATGAACAGGTTCTGGAGCATGAACAACCTCGGCACCGTGAACATAACCTAAAGCCTGTAAATTATTGCACTAGCCTGTGTCAGTTGAACATTACAGTGTGGGTAGAAGGTTGTATGTGAGAGCAAACTGATGAAAACATCAAAACTGAATCAATCAAACCAGAAAGATGCAAGGGAATCAAGCATTAGAAGTGCTATAAACTAAATAGGAATCAATTAACACAGCGAGCCTGGACATGCCAGCATTTTGTGAAAGACCATATACCTGGTGACCAAGGCAAACTCCTAAAACAGGGATGTCACTACATTCAAGCAATAACCTGAGGCATATTCCTGAAACGTTCAAAATAGTCAAGGTTTAGAAAAAAACAAGTTCATCAAAGAACAGATATTATTTGAGCTATAAATATGGGGTTTAAAGAAACAAGTGTCATTCCAACCAAAAAGGAAGTGGTGCTCCATGCAACTGTTTTGAAGCAAAGTACAACTTTTTTACTTGGGGTTGTCTGGGAACAAAAAAGTAAATTTTCATGCATGGATCTTATTTGGCAAGAGTTCTCTTTCTTGGTTATTGAGTGAACTAACACATCCTTGGCTAGTTTTAATGCAGAAACACAAATGATCAAACATGTGGTTCGTTCCATAAACTATCCACAAAGATTTCAGATTGAATCATTAAGTCAATTTTCCCATCAAGAATCAAAGACACTGGTATAAATGCCACTTTACACCCGGTGCCACTTGCACCCAGTTTTACATTAAGGCTATGTTTACTCATTCCTGTATGGGATTGAAGACTTAAATGATTATTTGGATGTTTATTAAATGTTATATGTAAGACAGATTCTTTTATCTCTAGTTAATTTATGCTGGGCTTTTAATGGATAATGATGAGTTCTTATCTATTAACATAGGCATAAAGCTAACATTACTCATCCTTCAGACTAAGTGTACTTCTGGATCTTGAGATGATGAAAGTCAGGCCATCATTACTTAGATGGTTTGGGTTGTAAAAATTATTATCCCAATCAAATCATATGTTCATTTTAATGGATAAAAGTTTGTTATCAATGAATTAAAGTAGCATTCAATAATCCCATCCCGTGATAGAATGCATTCAAACTGTATTAGTCAAGGAGATTCTCTCTCTTCATATTTATCCATTATCATTAGGGAACTCCCAAATAGTCTTCTAAGCAGAGCTATCTCTTGGGAGTCTTCAAAGGTGTGAAACGTGGGAGATCTAGCCCAATCTTATCTCGCCTTCAATTTGCAGAGAACATAACCATTTTCAGTGATGCAAGCGTATAGTCTCTCTTGGCTATCAAACAGATCTTGAAATGCTTTTAGCTAGTTACTGGAGTCAAGACTAATTTCACAAAAGTGCATTATTTATAGACTTCTCCCATATTTCATCATCTACTTAGCTTAATCCATTAAATGCTCAGTTGGGACCATTCCCCTTAAACATCTCAGGGCTCCTATTGGTATGAAAAGTAGCCGGATATTGATGTGGAATTCAGTCCTCAAGAAGGTTGATTTAAGAATGAGTGGGTGGAAAGCCAAACTCCTTTCCTTCAATGGAAGAGCTACGCCAATCCAATCAGTCTTTCTGAACCATCCTCTCTTCACTTCCTATATGTGTTGTATATTCCAACGCAAATCCTCCATTCACTAGAATCCAAAAGTTGGAGTATCATTTGGGGTGACTGCCAAGAAAAATGTGCTATCTAATTGGAACGCTGCTCTCAGTAAAAGAAACAGTCAATGGGCATTGGCCTTATCTCCCTAGATATCTTGAACAAAGCTATGCTGACAAAAATAGGTGTGGGGATTCCAAAATACAAAAGCACTATGGAGAAAAGTCATCTGCGGTAAATATAATATATAACCCTTCTCCATTTAGCCTTTTCTACAACTTGGGGCAATATCTATAAAGCTTAGAAGGCAACTTTGGTTGTTGGATGGGAATGACCACAACCTCAAAGTCAGTCTTTGCTGGCATCTTTTACTTGGCTTGCTCTAATATAGGATCTATCCAAGATCTTGATAACAAGACATGGGTTTGGGATATAACTCTTTTTCGTGCCTTGTCTGATTGAGAAAGCGATCTTTGGGTGCCTTTTGTAAAAGTGATCACTCTGCCATTGTTTTGGCTAATAGCAAGATAAACTACCTTGGAAGCCTAATCCTATCGGTTTCTTCAGCTTCCGGTCTTATCGGTGGCTCTCAAACTCGTACCACTCCACACCTGGTATTATAGCAGTCATATGAGACCATTTGGGACATATCATCTCCATCCTTTCAAAAATTTTGGGATAGAAGATTCTAAACAACACGGAGTTATTAGCCATCCCCCGTGCCCTCCAACAAGCAGCCCTCGATTAGGTTAGACCATTACCCCAGATTTAGGTTGAGTGTGACTAAAATAATGTTTTAACATGGGTTCAGAGTGCTAGCAACCCTCCCTCCTTGGAAGGTTAATGAGAACATCAGAAAGCTCCACTTCTACATCTCTAAATGTTCCAGCCCCTTTTCACTAGATATCTCACTCAGCAACTGAGTTGACTAACAATCATGCAGTTCAGTTGCAACCTCAGTTCTTCTATCTTCTTTGCTCAGCTTTTCTAGGGGCATTCTCTACTTAGCTCTCACACTCTTAGTTCTCAATGCTTTATTTTCATCTCTACCTATGTCTCTATCTTCGTATTGTAGTCTAACTCATCTCTCAACATATATTATTAAATTCTTCAAAAGAAAAAAAAAAGCTCCCATGAAGTCTTATCTCATTCATGAAAATCTTAAAGATAAGCTTAATGTTTTATTCTGACAAAATCACATCCAGTTACCTAATATCTGCTTTCAGAAAAATAAAAGAACATTACGGGATATCTGAAATTCAATATAAATGCTAAAGTCAGTGTGGTCATTTAAAAACATAGTTAAGATATTATTGAATTGCAATCTCTTACCTATATCAGAGGCACACATTGGAGAACCAGGACCAGGAGATATCACAATATTGTCAAATGCCTTCTCTTCATACAGATAGTGACAAATATCTTCCCAAGACCATTCATTGTTGCGAATCACCACCGGAGGCACTGCTAGAGTTTCAACACAAAGAGAAGTAAACTGTATTAAAAGATTTATTCCAATAACCAAGATTTACAACTCCCACTATCAGAATCCAAACAATTTATTTACAGGAACAGAATAAAGCTTAGAATCCAATAAAGGGGGCAACGATTATAGTGCTGATTCTAATTTAATTTGGTAACAACACTAAATACATCTTCATTTTACCTATCATCGTGGAACAATAGTGAACTTACTAGGAGTTACCTAGAAGGTAGCCCTTTGTATGATACTTGAAGCAACATGTAAACGACAATCTTAATAGACCCAAAAAAGATGTTAGAAACTCAAGACCTATCAGAGAACAAGATTATTGTGTAGACATAGTATGGCACTATGGCTGACATTAGATACTCATGTCCTTGCTCACAACCGATGGGCATCAACAAAAAAAAAAAGTTCTTTAATAAATCCAAACGTGATAGGAAACAGAATAATATGGAAAAAAGGAAAAACAAACACTAAATACGCTTTTCACTATTGACAGTGAAGCTCCACTGGAAACTTTGCCATTGAGAAATATCATTTATATTACTGTCAAAGGTATTCCCAAATGCACTCAGAGTTATAGATAAGCGTTGTTTGAACATGGATGGAAAACGTTAAAAACCCACATGAAAATCTTTTTATTTAAGCCGCACTGCATCTTGACATTGTATTTCGGGCCTTAAAGACACATTTCCCATGCTAATAGTTCAAACAAAGCACATAAAAAGATAGGTAAGTCATTTGACCACAAGGTACTACCAGATAACTTTAGATAAGAGCCGTAATAGCAGAAAGAGAGAAATCTTACATCCATTAATGACTGATAGCTCTTGATAAATGTTATATGTATAACTATCATAATTGTCGATCAACAATGTCCGCACTAAGTCCAACTTCGAAGGTGGTTCGTGAGCACTCAGCTGTTTCTTCCCTAGAAGAGAACCTTCTGAGTGGCCAGGGACTAAGTGGTTTGAAATATATGCCTTCCTCACAACCCCATCACGCAACCCACCAAGCCTAATGGCAACTTTAGGAGCAAGTGGCTTCAAATTCTTGCTATGAGAATTGCTCTCGAAACAAGAGAATGATATCTCAAGTGAACTAAAAGTAAAACTCATTCTGTTAGTTCAATCTGTCTCGCTTTCAATCCAACAAAATTTCCAAATTCATAAAAGATAAACTAGCCCTGTCATTCCCTGCAAACAAACAAAAAGTAATAACAATATTACCCAATGAATAAAATAATAACAACAGATCTCAAAAGTTCGAAAACAATATCTCGCTTAGGCTTTGTTCATAGAGGCTCTTGCCATAGCAGATGTGAGAATCCATAGCCAAAGATAAGCGACGCCTGCGAAAGGAGGGATGGACGTAAAACCCCTACTTACCTCAGAGAGTAAATGGAGTCATTAGCAAAAACCTCCGTCCACATGATTTATGAGCCTTCTTGGCAACTCAATAGCGCCATTGGAGTGGAGTCGGCTGGTTCACGTTGCGTTGTGTATGAATGGTGCAAATTACGCAGTGAAAATCAGCTATTACCAGAAAAAATACAAAGGTGGAATTCGGGCCAACGTGGGAAAACTCACATCCATTCGTAATTGCCACGTGAATGAAGATCGTGAGATAAAGAATACGGCAGCCAGCCGTAGGATCGATCAACTAACTCTGAAGCGCGCAGGGTTGATGAGATTGGAGCTTCTTCTTCTTCTTCCAACTGAATCTGATTCTGATTCTGAAATGGCAATGGCAATGGCAATGGCAATATTTGGTGCTTCGGCCTTACTCCTCCTTCCTATCCTTTTCCTGCTATTAAGATGGAATCGATTGGATTTAGATTTGGAGTCCCCACCGACTGCCAGACATTCTTCTCCTTTCTTTACTCTCTCTCTCTGTCTATTTATAGATTAAATTTGTTAGGTTACATAATCATAAGATTGTGTTTGGTTATTGTTGGATCTTGAAGTTTTGTCCAATATGATTTACCTCTAACAAATATTTATGATGCAATCGTATTACTCCCTAAAATTACGTCATTATTCCGTATTATTCCCTAAAATTATGTCATTACTTTTGTAATTATCTATTTTATCAATCTATATTTTTGAGCAAAAACCAAAATACCGTAATTATCAATTTTGATCTCATTCAAATCAGATTTTATCAAATTTAGTTGACCGAGACTGAACACGGACGCTAGATAACTCAGGTGACCGAGACGCCCCAAAAAGGATGGCCATTAGGGTGGAAATAGGCTAAGCTAGACCTTAGCTAAGATTGGTTTGTTTTAAAAATATTTGACCTAAGCCTGTTAGCTTGATTTTTTATTTTTTAAAGGATTAGCCTAGTTTTTGTTAAAAGACTAGTCTGGCCTACAAACCTATTTAAAAAAGTTGATAATATTTTTATTTATTTATTTATTTGTAAATTTAGTTAGAAATAAACACACCAGTATCTATCTTTCTATATATATATATATATAAAAGAGATCGGGGATCCATTCCATCAAATTTTTTTTTTGATTTTTTAATAAAATAAATATGTATTAAATGCTATTAACTATATCATAATTAATAAAATTATACTAAATATATTTTAAAAGATAATAAAATAATTGATTTAATTTTATAATTAAAATAAATTATAATTTTGTTAATTTATACCCCTAATTAAGGCTATTGAAAATATAATAAATTTGGAATCTAATTTTATTTATTTTTATAATTAAAATAATTATATTAATAATCAATAAAATTAAAATTAATTATATTTTGTAATTTATATTATATATATATATAAAAGATCGACGTGGGTTCACTCCCCAAAATCTTTTTTGTCTAATTTTTTTATTATTTTTGATTTTTTCAATAACATAAATATGTAGAAAATATTATTAAATATATCATAATTAATAAAATTATAATAAATATATTTTTAAAGATAATAAAATAATTGATTTAATTTTATAATTAAAGTAAATTATAATTTCTTCTATTTATAGCCCTAATTAAGGCTATTGAAAATGTAATAATTTTGGAATGTAATTTTATTTATTTTTATAATTAAAATAATTATATTAATAATCAATAAAATTAAAACTATCAGTAATTATATTTTGTAATCTTAATATATATAAAAACGCAAATAAATTTTATAATTCTATAGTTTTTCTTTATTTTTTAATTCTTAAAAAAATTTAAAATTAATTTAATATTTTCTTAATTTTTATTTATACCCGTAATTAATGGATAATGAAATTTTTCAAAATTTCATTATAATTGATATTAAATAATTATATTAACTGATATAGTTATAATTGATATAATTTATGAAATTAAAAATTAATAAATATATTTATCAAAAGTTAAAAATGATTATTATATATATATATAAAATATTAGTATGGAGTTCATTTCATCAATATTTTTTTATCATTTTTTTAATTTTTGTAATAATTTGTTTTTTAAAATAAAATAAATATGTATTAAATGCTATTAAGTATATTATAATTAATCAAATTTTAATTACTATATTTTTAAAGATAATAAAATAATTGATTTAATTTTATGATTAAAGTAAAATATAATATAATTTTATTTTCATTGGGTTCAACACGGCCGTGTTCATACCCGTATTTTAAATATAACCATGTTGTCCATGTTCCTGCCAATATTCTAGAGGATGTTCACGACTTTCACTACATGTTTTAGGCCATGTACACGACCATGTTTTCAATATAGTCATATTTATTATTATTTTTACTTGGTTAAGATTATTTGATATATATATATTTATAATTCAACCAAAATATTTTTTACAATTATTTTATAATATAAAAAATAATCAATTTTTTTTTTATATTTATTTCTAAATATATATAAAAATTTTATTTTTATAAATAATCAATCATTAAATATATTTTATATTTTCTAAATATGAAAAAATTTATACTTTTTATTACCTGCACTTTTGATATATAAAAAATATTAAAAAAAATTATATATTAAAATTTTTTATTATATATTAGAAATTTTTATTATATAGCTGATAAAAATTTTATATTCAGAAATATAAAAAAATTTATTTTTATAAGTAATCAATCATTAAATATATTTTTATATTTTAAATATAAAAAAATTTATATTTTTTATTACCCTGCACTTCTGATATATAAAAAATATTAAAAATTGATAATTAGAATTATTAATATATATATCAAATAATTTTAATTAAGAAGTAAAAATAATAATAAATATAACCTACAATATAATTATATTGAAAACAGATGTGTTGAAAACATGGTCGTAAAAAATATGACTGCAGGAACATGAGACTATAGGAACATGAGTAATCAACACGGCACGTCCCGTCACCCTTCTGAGTCATCCAACACGGCCGTGTTGAGTCCTATTCAATCACCTTGAGACTAAAATTGAAAAATTTTCATTTAAGTGAACCAAAATTGATAAAAAAATTTCGAATGAAATCAAAATTGATAATTATGATATTGAATAAAACCAAAAATAATTTTTGATTTTTTTTTTAACTATTAATTATTTAATTTTATGATTCTTTATAAAAATATATTACTTTTATTCACATCCAAATAATAATAATAGTTTTTTTCTTTTTAAAAGAACAATTATCAACGAAAAACACTTCTTTCTATGTATTCTATACAAACTAAAGCCGCAAAGTGGAGGTGCAAGAAGACTTATTCTTTCTTTACCCAGGGTGTAGCTGTAATTCTGGATACTCAAATCACTATAGCTTCTTTAAATCAACCAAAAGCTCCATTCACATTGCAGCTATTCCCTTCCCTGTTAATAGTCAAATAAATTCTGTTAAAAGACAAGAAATTCAAGGTCTACATTGTTTCAGATCTTGTTTTTGCATTATATAGTTTATTACTGTATCAATTATTTTACCTCTAAATACATCTCATGTTAATTTATTTATTTATGTTTTAAATATCATATCCAACACTTATTTTTCGTTCATTACACTACATCGAACATCTATTTTATTTCCAGTCTTTTTCTTATTTCAATTCTACGGAAACCTTATTAGATGGGTATATTTCATTATGATCCCTATATATATAGTAAAAAACACACCAACTGAACTGGGGTGGGGGGTTGGAGAATTAGATATGGAGTTCTAAAGAAAGCAAATTGGCCTCATAACTTCTAAACAGAGGTGAGAATTGTAAAATTTTTACTAAACTACAAGAAACATAATCCTACAAGGTTTATGTATAGATGAGATGCACCGCAAAAAGATGTACCAAATCTTCTTGAAAAGATCCCATGATCTTATTAAAAGTGTAAGTGTCAAAAAGAGTTAAAATTATGCAGTAAAAGTGACAAACAAAAATCGATTCAACTTAAAAACAAAAACCTAATACAGTTTATAAACACCTAACTAAATATGAAAAAGACCAAATATATCCTAAAAAAGAGTCACTAAGGTTTGTGTTATTTTCAACAGTATGCAAACATAATAAGAAACACATTGTTGGTAATACGGACTTCGTTGGTAATTTGTCAATTAGGTTTAAGCATATCGATTACAATTACACTGAGGCAAAGTTGAACAGAGAGGCCCCTAACTCGTTTCTGACTTTACTGCTTAGACTTAGGAAAGCGAAAGGGTTCCCCTTAAAGCACTATTGACTCAAGTCCTGAATCGAGAAAGTTTCCATGCAGCTTGTCCAGATGAACTAAAAGAAATCAATATTATGGCATTGACTGTGTTATTCTCAACTTAAAAAATTTAAAAAGTATGATTTCTAATTAAAAGAGATGATATACATAAGGAAGTCAAATACAAATGGAAAAAACCACGACAAGTTAACTAATAGCCAAATACACAACAAAATCAAATACATGTCGTTTGCATATATAAATATATATGAATTTTACGAACTTCAGTAACTAATTATAATATAATATAAGAATGTCCAGTTCACTTGTATGTATATTTATTTCTTTCTTACAAACATAATTATTTAAACACAATTCTGTTTGGTAAATATGTTGTAATATATAAGTTTTGTTATAAAATACTATACATTCAATTGAGTATTTGTATAACAGATAAAAATGCTCCAAACATGTTCATGTTTTAAAGCACAGAGTTATAGGACAACTGGTTTATGTTTTGTTCACAAAGATTGGAAGTGCACCAAGATTTACTCTAAAAAGGCGTTTGGTAAATAGAATAAAATTGTAGAGAAATGAAAGTCGATAATGAAATTGGAGAGAAATGAGATTATGAGAATGAAATTGCAAAGAAAAAGAATTCAGTAGAAAATGAAAATTAATTATTTTGTTTTAATAATTATTTTGTTTGGTAGAACAGTTGAAAAATGTAAAAGAATTGCAATGGAACGATCAAGAGAGAATTTTAACGAATGAAAATTCATGACAAGATTTTTGGTGATTTTTTTTTTTGTTTAAATAATAAATTAGATACGATGTTTCGTAAGATCATATTTTAATATAATTTTTAAAATATCATAAATAATAAATTAAATGTAATGTTTTGTAAAATTGAATTAATATAATTTAAAAAATTGTAAAAATCAAATAGTAAAAAATTTTTTTAAAAAAATACTACATCAATAGTCATTTATTTCCATTTCTCTCTCCTATATAGAGAGAAATGAAAATAATTTATTTTTCAAGTTTTATTTCTTTAATTCAAACTAACAAAATAAATGGAAATAATCTCTCAATTTCCTATGTTTAACACACCCTAGGGGCCGTTTGATTGGATGAATTTGAGGATGGATTTTAAATTGGATTTTAATTACATGGCATTTGAAATACTATGTAATTAAATCTATTATAGGGTTGTAGAATTTTTTCAAAATAATTAATATATTAGATACTTTTTATTTTTATATTGTCTACACAATTCTCCATATCTCACGTAAAAAGATATCAAAACACAAAATAAACACACTCTTGAAATAACACATTATTAGAGACTCCAACCAAACAGGACCCCACAATGATACATGTATGCATGCTTAATGTTAATGACTTTCCATTATTTTACTATCCCTAATTTTACTTTCTATTTTTCAGCCTAAGTTATTTTTGTTCCAATTATATACACCTAACTAATTTTTGTATATTTTTATATTTTTGGTCAATATATATTTATTAAATGATATAATAGTTTGATAAAAAGGACAAATCTTACAAAAATAGGGAAAAAATTGTAAATTTGTTTGCTTGATTATTCAGATGCATTTTAATTATTTCCCTCATTCAAACAAAAAAAAAAAAAAAAAAAAACAAAACAAAAAAAAGAAAGAATTACTATTTCAATGCATTCCTACAAAAAAAGAAAGAAATCATATTGCACACGTTCTTTCTTTCAGAAGCTACAGAAAAAAGCATATCTGAATAGTATATATATATATAAATAAAAATCAAGATGAGATTCGAAATTACCAAGAAGCTCCTTATGACATTTACATATAATCAACCACTTCAAGCTCACGAAACCTCTCGCTTATATTTCTGATTGCCCGTGCTCCACCGTCTGTTATCTCTAGAACCTAATGAAAATACATCAAATACCGTTAGAACTGTATCGTTTTAGGTATTTCTTCCGAAGCTTATAGAAGTAACAGTATTAGGCATTAGTTAAAGAAAAGATAATTAACATTTAAAGTATCCCAATAAACTGAGATGTATAGGCCAGCTCACTGTTGTATGATTAAAAACAAATTAATGTCCACATTTTTATCATCAAAAGGAAAAATATATCCTCCATGCACTCTATAAAGAATGAAGTGAAGAGATGACTTCATTAGCATCCATTTATCGATTATATCTCCCGTCTAATTCTACTCTAAACTTTCTATTCTTACCATTGATACTTGTAGGATACAAGTTATCATCGAAGTACATAATGAATAAGCCACGAGGGATCATATGCTAAGAGTGTGTTTGTTTGGGGGTTTGAATTTTTTATTGAATTTGAATAGTAAAATTTTTGAATTGAAACAGTTGTATGATGAGATATAAATAGATGTTGATGTAATATTTGAATGTAAATTTGATTTTTAGTATAATATAAAAAATAAACATAGATATTTGATTTGATATTTTTGAGGTGAAATTTTTTTATGAACAGTAGAAATTTGAGGAAATATGATAAAAAGGACACACCCTAGATAATACATATTAAGAGCCACTACAACACTTAATGAAATTGTGTACCTCAGGCCTTGAGTTGTGAACTCCACTGGACATTCCCACATCGATACGCCAAATGCTACAGTTGAATTCACTGCATGGAAACCAGAACCTCATCAATTGCACAGATAATAATCTACATTGAAATAGTAAATGAATATAGCTTGTATCGTTTCGAAAGAATGTGACAGGGAAAACTTTAGAACTCGTAATGTTTTGACCTTAAATTGTCCAAATTCTGTACTTCTAACTAAATTTGTGGATGACACAGTTGAGCACCAGAAGCATAGATCTCCAATTTGAACTCAGAGAGCATCAAAACAGATTTTCTACATTTTCTTGAAGATCTTAAATACTAGTTCTTGACAAATAATAAACAGGATATGCAAGACACGCTAAGATCTTAAATACTGCACATGCTGATCAAATTATCTAAACAACTATTTTTACAATATATAAGAAGAGGGACTTCCAATATTCATTAATCTCATGTTTAGAAAACATAAGTACCTTAGATTCATTCAACAATTCTTTGATCAATATCATATGCAATAGCTCTATAAAATAGCATGATTCTAATTGATTTTAGTAGAGTATAAAAGATGACTAGAAGTATTATTATTAATTGTTCACCTAATTTGTACTACATCCCTCAGCATTCATGCATTCGTCAATTCACTATAGAAGTTTTTCTTTTTCTTTCTTTTTTTAATAAATAAATAAAAGAAATGACTTAAAAATTAGGACAACAATCCAGGGCATCGAAATAATCCTTCAAATTGGTATTTGGTGATTACAACTCTCTTAGTGGGAGCAACATCCTATTGATTAATTTATCACTTGTTTTGAAATAGTGTACGTGCCATTACCATGCAATCTAAAATCTTACAATAATAGAATGTTTCAAAGCATATTACCAGTTCACTCCTGTTGATTGCGGAGTATGTCCTACGACCATAGCCTTAGCACCCACTGCTTGAAGTGTCTCCTGAAGGACAGCTTGAATCTGATGAAAGTCACTTCAGGATTTATAGCTGCTTACAAGATTTCAATACAAGAAAAATAGAAAATACTAGATGCATTGGGAATGTCCAGTCAATATCTCATACTAGAACATATAATTTATGCAAAAGCTAAAGTCACAACGGAAGTTGGAGAAAAATTCGATGCAGATGATTCAGTGTTTTTCCTAATTGGAGCACAATGCCTCATTATTTTGGTAAAATATAATTACAATTATAGAGAAAACCAATTGCTGAGGGAAATCGTTTCTTGGCAACTCAATCTCAAGAAGAGAGATATGATTTAAGGAAATGTGGTCCCCATTGCCTGAGGGGACTTTGGGAAAGAAGCAAGTAAAAGATAGAGCAAGAATATCGGTGACATTGACAATAAAATAAATAACCTGATTGATCTGATGATCATTCAAATGTGACGTGTCTCTTGAGTACAGACGGCTCCACACGACACTGTCATAGCCTTTCATAGCTATGAAGGGGATATTCGAAGAATTGTCCCCGAGGCCTTTCATCCACAGAGATACTTCTCTATTCATCCTCTCTATGCCATATTGGACTGCAATAGAGAGAAAATGTTTTCATTCATTCTGTATTATATTTAGTGATCATAATTACAGAGATTTTGGCACCACATTCACCATGATGAGGAAGAAGACCACCATGACAGAATACCCAATCATTGATTTTGAGAACAACTGCGTTCTGTGCCAACTCAGATGCCAGAGGACCCCCAGGTCTCAGAAGAATTGATCTTGAAATGACTCCCTTCTGTCTCTGTCCTAATAACCGGATGATTAAATTAGAAACAAAAAAGTGATGTATAGTATCCCGACGAATCAGCACTAAGCCCAACCCCCCGGGGCGGTCTGGTAGAAGAATTCCATCAATTTTTTTATGTAGATTTCAAGATAATTTGTAAGAAGCTATCTCCAAATATGGTTTAACATTCATAATGATTTTAGTGATTAGGAAAAACAAACTTTAATGGCATTGAAACTAGACAAATATGAAATCAATTCAACAGCACAAGTTCTTCAAGAATGAAAAGGACGTCAGACCAACATGCTTACAATAATTAACAAGAACTAATGAAACAATTTATCAATAGGTAATCAATCATCTACATCTGTTATAAAAGATCTCTGCAATCTATTGATATTTACACTAAATCACACATACCTTCACCAAATTCCAAGGACCCCAATGTTTTTGTGGCACCTTACGGTCTTCTTTCCATCTTTTAGATACACTAGACCAACCAAGAAATGCTTCTTGCCAGTTGTGGCCACAGGTGTCCAGGTATTCCAGGAAGTCAGCACACTCATCAAATGCACCTGAATCAACATACCTGAAATCCCCTTCAACGTTCAAGGTTTCATGATTTCCATTAACCTATAAATATGACAAGCAAAGGATTTGTTAAAAATCCCTTTTTGCAGAACAGAAAGAGTCATAAGCAAGCAGCTTAAGCGCAAGGAGTCGGCAAAGAATCCGAACTAAAATGATGAGCCGAACAGAATCGAACTGTATTTTCGGTTCAAATACTGAAAGTTGATATTTGTTCATTTCGGTTTCACTTTCGCTTTTTAATATTTTTTCAATTAACTGAATCGAACCGAATATATTTATATTATTATATTTAAAAATTTATATGAATAATTATATTATATTCAGTTCGGTTTGGAATATTTGCGAATGTTTGTAGTTAATTGGAATTTAGTTACTTTTTAATGTATTGGATTTTACATTAGATTCGAATTATTTGCAAATGATGCAAATATTTTTGGTTAACCGAATTTTTAGTTTGAATACGATTTACAATTTCGAGTACTTGTTTGGTTCAACTCGAATATCAAATACCTATACATTTGCAAACAACCGAACAATGTTCATCCCTATTAAGCACTACGATCAAAAGATGACATTTATTCTGAAATATCTGAAGTATGTTAAAATAGCACAATATGTATATTCTCAAACAATCAGGGTAGAATATTGACAAGGAGATTCTTCACATTTCAAAAAACAACAGACACGATTGGCCGAATTTGAAATAAAGAACATAAATTTGTGTTCAACAGACCTGGAAAACTGCACCTCCGGAAGCTTTCGCCTGTATATCCAAAGATTTCAACAAGGATAAAATTGCAATTTCATCTTCACCTCTATCCAGTATATCTCCAAGCTGAACTAATACCTAATAATGATTGCCAAATTTAAAGAACTTTCACTATCAAATTCCTTAAACAACATTCATTTTGTTAAACAACAATCAAGCTCCACATTCGAAGAATAGTTTTCTTCAAATACGAGCTATACGGATACTTATATCAGTAAAACAGTTATACGGATACTTATATCAGTAAAACAGAGTGCATACCGTTTGTCCACCGACCCACGAATCTTGGCCATCAGAACTCAAAACATCTGCCATCCTCAGGGCATATCTAGCTTTCTCTAGATCTCCATGCAAATCTCCAACTAATAATCATAACAACACAAAAAGCATCACAGCAAACAATAATATTTCAAGATACAAACTTGTAATAGATATTATGCATTCACCAACAGATGCCGCACAATTGCCACATCAATATGAATTATTCAATAAATTGTTGGTTGTTTTAGTGTAATTAGATTTATTCAAAGCCAAGGGAGGCTGAAACTAAGCAAAAACCGAGATGATGCGTTCAGTGCACGGTTCATGTTATGAAAATTTTGCAAAAAGGTGTGTTCTTTGTGTCTCTTAAATTTTTGATTTCAAAAAATTGTATTCAAAGTGAAGAGATGCATCCCTTTCTAAAATAATGTTTCGGTTTGAAATTCAAATTCAAAGTTGAATCGAACAAACATGACTTTTTCTCAATTCCTTTTGAGATTTTTACATCCATACACTCTAAATTCAAGTGACTTCGATTCTACTCATTTTTCTTACCAAAAATCGATTTGTTCTAGTCTTATTCCGTATAAGAAACTCTTGATAGCCATGGCAATGCGTAGTGTGATCATTGTATTTGGAAAACATGATCGACGTGATTCGAAGAACTATAGTCATCCTCATCGTCACCCTACATATCACTACACTTTCCCTGACATAAATAAAGTTCCACTGTACACTTTTCAGATAGATAACATATGATACAATCAGCAAAAACACCCTCCCTAAGCTTCGCTTGATTCTTCAGCACCCCAAAATTCTTCACAAATTTTCAATTGATTTCTATCTCACTCCACAAAATCAACATGAAACTACTCAAAACACGTTAAACCGCACACATCAAAAGGCAATTCATAGGCTTTAGGCATGCACGTACTATGTTCGCTAAAATGCCGCAGAAGCCCTAAAAGCCGAAAGGAACACCGTACCTGCGACGATCCGGCGACCAGGGGCAGAGACGAAACTGGGAGGATCTCCATTGACTAGAATGGGATGATTGAAGCTTCCAGCCGAGGCAATTGCGGTGTGCGGAGCTGAAGCGGTTGAAGCACAGCAGCAAGATATGGCATCGGACAGCCTGTGGTGCGGCGACGGCGGGAATGAAGAAGGGGTTTGGAGACGCAAGGAGAAGCGGAGAGAGACGGAAGCCATTGGTGAGAGTGAGGAGTGAGGTGAGGCGAGCGGGGCTTATGTTGGGCTCCATTGTCGTGTCTGTCGAGGTTTCTTCGCCACGCATTTAGCATCTCTCTCTCCCCCCACTTTGACCTTATCTTCCTACTTTTTCCAACTAATTTCACTCATAGATTTTCGTTCGTGTCATCAAACAAAGCCATTAAATTATTCAAAGTCAATTCTATTCCTTATAATTTTTCATCCATATTTAACCACATATTTTTTTATATTAATTTTGAATTTATATATTTTATTTTATTTAATATATTATTATTATTATTATTATTATTATTATTATTATTATTATTATTATTATTTATAAACTATACAAATTGAATTGATTTTTTAATTCAATAATTTTAATAATTGCTATATGTTACTTTGAAATTGATTATCGATATGAATTACTCTATTCGTCCCAAGATACAATAGTCTTTATTTATCATTTTTGCCAATTTAAAACAATAGTTTTATTTTCATAAATAACCATGAAAATATTTTTTTTTTTTTAATTTTTATTACACAATTGTTATTACTTTTTACACTAATACATTTACAAGAAAAAAAAAAAAAGATTTTTATCCATATTTTTTTACCCACTACTAATATAATATTAATATTTTTTAAATTCAGTACTCAACCCAATTAATAATATATTTATGGGACAAAGGGAGTATTTTATATAATATTTCGATAGGATATTTTTGTAAAAAAGAAATAGTATATATTATTGAAAACTGTATTAAATTAATAATATTAATTTTAATTTAAAATATTAAAAGAATATGTCCAAAACATTTCTTCAATGATTCATATATATATATATATATTTTTGCAATGTTAGTAATATTTTAACAGATAGGTGCTGAAAATATAATTTCATCATTTATGTTGATACTTAAAATTTAAGTTTATATAATTATATTATTTAATGATATAAATTATGTTTTTTTTTTTTTTACTCTTTAGAGGTGGTTTTTTTTTTTGCTCTATATATTTTTTTAAATAATTAAATATTGATATTTTTTTAATAGGAACTAACAGTTGATGCATTTTGGCTAATGACATGATATTTAAAGTAATAAAGTTTAATTAAGTTAACTTAATAAATTATATTACTATTTTATTATTACTTTTTTATGTAAGTGATAATGATATTTTTTAAAATAAGAATTAATATATATGATTAAAAATAATTTAAAATTATATTTAAATATTTAAAGCACTATATTTTAATAAAATATATACGATATAAATATTATTTTGTAGTAAATATAATTTTATATAATATAAATAAATAAATAAATATTTATTTATGATTAATATAAACTAATGTTATAAAAAATATAAAGAGTTTTAAATACATATAAAAATATATATTTATTGGAGAGAAATTATGGATGTGTTTGTTTTGTGAGATAATTTGAGAGATATTCTTTTACAGGTGTAAGGAATATAAAAATAATGAATGTATGTGATATATTAATATTTTTGAAAAAACGTACGTATTTTTTGTTAAAAGAACACACACTACATGGATAAAGACTTTTTGAGTGATCCCACATATAAGATGTTACAAATTTAATTAAATTGATTTATATTTGTTAAATATATTTAATATCAATGAATTTACTTAAAAAAAAAAACATATCTAACTACTCCCTCTGTCCCAGTATAATAATCCTGTTTACTATTTTTGTCTGTCCCAAAATAATACTCTCGTTTCCATAAATAACAATATCACTGTAAAACTACATTTACTTTTTCATTATTATTACACAATTGTCACTACTTTTTACACTAATACATTCACAAAGACAAAAATTCTTTTACTCGTATTTTTTACCCACTACCAATATAATATTAATATTCTTTAAATCTCGTGTCAAACCCAACCCAGACTATAATTTTGGGACGAATGGAGTACTATGAAACAATCTAAAATAAAATTTTTGTCATCTGTTGTGAGACGAAGGAAGTATGATTATTATTTCACATTTTTTGGTACATCAAACACTTCCAAGACTATTATTTATCATAAGAATGTATGACTGTATCATTCATCTCTCCTGTCTTCTTTTTGCTCTAATTAATAATAGGTTGTTTTGTTATTTATTTCTTTTATATTATTACCTGTGGCTATTACTCTGATGATTTGAATTAATCATCACAATGCTAATATTACAAATAAAATATACCAACAACATATGAGATGAATGTAAATCGATAGCACAATATATATTATTTATATAATATAAATAAAGCACATAAATTTATAATATATAATAATGATTCACGCATTATATATATTACAAATCTCACGCATAAATATTATTAACATAGGACACATAAAATTAAAATGATATACTCCCTCTTTCCTGTTGGAAGGGTGACATTTGATTTTTGCACGTAAATTTTTTAATATTAGTATTATATTATTGTAGTAAAAAAAAGACAAAAATATCCCTATTAGTATGGTGTAATATAAAAATAATGACATTTGTGTAATATTTTGTAAGTTGAAAGAGTATTTATTATGTTAAGCAGGTAGTACAAATACTAAATTAGGAAATGGTAACGTTGTTTGGGACAGACAAAAATGGTAACCTTTCATTGGGACGGAGGAAGTATATAGATTATACAACATGCATGTACTATATAATTTATTTTTACGTAGTGTCTATTATATTTTTACATGCTGACTCAGACTAATCAACATTATGATCATTTTGATTATTGTCACTTATTTTGTAATTTTGGTCTAAACTTGAGAACATATGTAGCTGATAGCACTTTAGGAATTTCTAAGTTCAATATATGATTTGAGTTAAAAACACAAATAGAGTGAAAAGAAAGAAGAAAAAGAAAAAGAAATTCACAAGGAAAGAAGAATTCAACATGCTTTATTTATTTATTTTACTCTTTATCTTTTATTGTTTTTTTAATTATTCTTTTACTTTTTCTTTTATAAGTAAAAAAAATAAATAGATATTTTTTTGTTGAAAATATTTCAATACAATTATATATGTCTATGTTGAAATTGTTTGAAATTGTATTGAAATTTAAAATAAAAATTTAATACTATATATAATATAAAAAATAAAAAAATAATTGTGTAATTGGATGTTTGTAGAAGGAAAAATATTTATAAATAGTAGAATTTTAGGCAATATCTTTCAAAGAATATATTCTATAAATTTTTATATTTGAATTAAAATTGATATATTTTAATTATATTATGATTACTATTGATTGTTTTCATTTTAACTATATCAATTATTTTAAGTTCAAAATATATTTTTTTAAAAAATATAACAAAAAAAAAAAAATTTAGACCAAAACAAAAGGTACACGCCATATATTTTTATAGAATTAATATGACTATTTATACTGATTTATATGAATTTTAATGCAATTGGTAGAATTGGGGAATATTGTCTCCATAACATTTTATAAAATTCGATGATGTAATTATTAATATTGATGCAAATATATATTAAACACATTTATATATAAAAAAATTTTATTCAATTTTTTTAACAAAAGCAACAAATGTAACTAAATAATAAATAAAATATATATTTCATTTTTATAAAACATATAGGCACATTGCTTGTAAAAAAAGTCAACTAAAATAATTTCTAACACATAAATATTTTGAAGTATAAATTCACGAATATTCACATAATATAATAGTAAAATTTTATGTGAATCATTGTGAAATTTTTAATAACGCATAAAAATTATACATCTGAATCTTTTTAAATACTCTTCCGTCCAATTTCTATTGTTCTAAAAATATATTTGCACGGTTTTTTAAGTAATTTTTTTTTGTTATAAATTAATAAATTTACAAGATAGAGATAAAAAGTGATAAATAGATAAAGAGTAAAAAAAAAAAATTTATGTTTAAAAAGAAAAATAGGACAATAGTTGTTCAACGTTAGTTTATGAACGCATAGACTAATATTTATGAAAAAAATAATCATGCCTTAGAAAATTTTAAGTGACAAATAATTAATGGATCTTAAAAATACTTATAAATTACAAAATACTTTTCTAAACACATAGATGTTTAATATACAAAATGCTTATTAGATAAAAACAAATTCAGTATTCCCATTTCATAGCATCATAAATTTCTAACAAATTCGACTAATTAACAACCATAACAGTATTCAACGGAAATCTATAAAAAATCTATATCGAAACTTCAACTTCTATCAATGGTAATATATAAAAACAGTCCATTCCCTTGAGCACGAATCGTGCAATTTCCATATCAAAACTCAAATTTGCATCAAACTCAAATATCCATTTGTAATGGTTCGAAGAGTTCTTCCTCAAACACCTTTCCGTCCAATCTGCAATAAAATAATCAAATTTACGACAAAAAAAATCAGGCACATCGACCCCAAAAAATCCCTCGTCGTCACAATATCCTCCCCACTGCCACCTGCTCCTCCACCGCTACCACCGTCACCGCCGGAGATTCCGCCACCAAAACTAGTGTTGTTTTCCATTCTCGACAGCATGTCAAGCTCTGTAATTTCAAAAAAAAAATAAAAATAAAAATGTTAATTAGAACACTTACATAAATCCCTAACAAACATAAAACATACACACCTTCAATCAAGTTCAATCAAACCAAAATCCCTCCAAAAACTCAACAAAAATAATCTAACAACCTAACAACCTAACACAGAACACATATAATATAGAATCACCACAATATAGAATCGCCACGCACGTGTGCATTATGCGTATACATAAATCCCTACAAAATAAAACATAAACACCTTCAATCCTATTCAAACAAACCAAAAAGGCTCAAAAATAAACTCAAACAAAAAAGAATAATATAACAAACTAACAAAAAACTCAGATGACATAAAATTACCAGGTGCATAAATCGCTACACATGCAACATAAACACATTCAATCGAACCAAAAAAACCAAAAGAACACGAACAAAAACACAATATAGAAACACGCACTTTGTAAACTGGATTCCACAGCCGCAATTGTACTCCTTCGTCCCAAACGTCTTGCAGTGCGCCTTCCAATCTGACTCCACGGCGTACTTCTTCGAGCACTTGGTGCAGTTCCACCTCTTCTCGCAGATCTTCCGCCGGTAGTGTTTCCTGATCCCGGTCAAGTCCCCCAACACCCTTGCTGGATTGTGGTGCACGCAGCTAGTCTCCGGGCAAATGTACACCTTCTTCGGCGCCTGTGCCGCCGCACCACTTGTACACGCGCTCCTCTCCAATCTTGCCGGCAGATTGTGAGCTCTTTTGTATAGTTGTAGATTCTGATCTCTTTGAAAAGCTTTGTGGCAGATCTCGCAGACGTATTGATTAGTCGCGAGTAGAGTTCTTGGTGACAACCACGGATGGATCTACATATGGGCTAGGGGGCAACTGACCCTCTAACCCCCAAAATATATGTATTTTTTAGTGTAAAGAATAGTAAAATTATATAATTTTTAGTAATTTGTCATTCTTTTTTTTTTTTTTTATAATATAAAAAATCATAAAAATTTTGTTTGTTTGTTAATTTATATTTTTAGCATTTTAAAATTTATTTTTTATAATAAAAAAATATTGAATTTTATATAGTTTTATTGAAAATTTTTTCAACGCATTTAAATTTTTTCAATTTTTTGTTCTCGGATGTATGTGATATGATTTTTTTTTAAAAAAAAACAAAATTTAATTGATATCAACACTTTCGCCCCCTCCAAATTTTTAGTGCTGGTTCTGTCAGCACTTTTGCATTAGAATCTGATAAGGAAATAAAACAATGAAACCATTATTTTGCATTAGAATCTGATAAGGAAATAAAACAATGAAACCATTATTACATTACTCAGATTTTTATTGTTTAACTAATCGAGTTTCTTGTTAACAATTAGGGCAATTTTTTATATTTAAGATTAGGGTTTTTGTGCAGATTGTCGAGTTCGACCTGGGTGGGTTTTCTTTCGCCTCACCACGGGCGCGGATTGATTATTTTGGAGAGTTGCACCCAAATTCGACATAATGAATTTTGAGATCACTCGAAAACACAGAAAAAGGTTGCTTTATGTTCTTCGATTTCTCTTCACACAAGTGAGAGATTGGGGGAGGGTATGAATTAGGGTTTGAGTGTGGGGAATTGCTGCACCCAAATTCGACATGATTAATTTCGAAAACACAGAAATAGATTATTTTATGTTCTTTGATTTCTCTTCACACTCAGTGGTAGAGCAACGGTTGGAAACTGGGGAGGATATAAATTAGGGTTTAAATGTGGAAAAATGAAAAAATTGAAAGTCCAAACGATGGCTGATCTGGTCTAGTGCAGATTAGGGTGATAAAATGGATCAACTGCGAGAATATGCCGAAATAGACAAATTGGCGGTTGGAATTGACCAAGAAGTTGGGAGGTGTAGAATTGAAGTTAGTTAAGATCCTGAAATTACGATCTGTGTGTCTTTTGTGTATTAATTATCTCTTGTTGTCATCTCTGAGATCATGAAAGCTTCTGGTCAATTCTTTTCTATTTTGTTTTGTTTGATCTCTGGAATCATCGAACTTGTTTATTTTGGGAAGAAGACAACTCTGACTTCCAGCCAAAATCATTCGTGACATTCAACTGTTTTAATTTTTTTTTTTCTTGGTAGTATTGTATTTATATTTTTGACCGAATGTTTTTCAGTTGTGATTATATTTTGGCTGTATTTAAATATTCTATAAATATTTTATATTACTTTTATATTATTACATATATTTAATCTAATTTGTTCATTTGTCCATTATTTATTTATCAATTTCATTTTCATTTTCATTTTGATCTCAACAAGCAATCTACTTAATTTTTTTAGTAATTGTCCAAATTACTTAAATATAAAATTCTACTCAAATTTACACAATATTATAAAAAATATCATAAAAAAAAGCAAAACAAATAGATTTAGGGTTAAAGAAAGTTTCTTTATCCTTCTATTGCATTATTATCCTACAAAATATTAATATTTCAAAATCAACCAAAAAATAAATAAGTAGATAGATAGCAGACGAAATGAAGTATTATACACGAGGGAGGCTGGAAACGGAACAATGCAACCTGGGCGTTGCCATGGTCACGATTCCTCGAGAAATGTTGAAGGATTCCTGAATAAGATGACAATGCGGGCTGTTGAAGCTCTTGAGGTTTTGCTTAATCTGGGAATGGAGATGAGGACTTCTTGCTGTGATGTGGTGCTAAGGGTCATTAGCAATGGGCATCACAAAAGAACTCGCTTTTCGAAGTATTGCATAGAATACCTTGTGGGCTTTGTGACTATCCTTCCTGAAATATATATCAATCACAAGAAATTTTCATCACCAGGATTGCGATGAAAGAAAATCTATGGCAATGTGCACGTTCATGAGTTTTGCATGAATGCACGTGTGTCGCACACTTCATTGTATTAATACATTTGATGTTCGAACCACGGTGATTTAGGTTACTATATATGTGTATATATATCTATATGCATAATTTACAAGTATTTTTAACTATTGTGTATTTGTCTATAGGCGTTAATTCCACGTAATTGCCTATTGCACGTAGGTATGTTAAGCATGTTTATCCTTCTATTTGTGAAAACTATAAATCTACACGCATGTACACAATTATTAATGTACAAGCATCTCATTGAGTGCGTGTTTACCCGTGTGAATCTCACGGAATGGTCGAATTGCACGGCAAGTTTGCTTCAGATTTTCTTCTCACATAAGCAATAAAGCTATGAACTTGTACTTCATGTGCGTCTTGCCTTTATTTATTATGATGACGTGCAATCGCTACCGAAAGTGCGCACTGGGTAAACTTATGAAATAAGAAATAAACATTAATCTTATAACAAACCATACTGATTAGATAAGAAAATAAAATAAATCTTCACTTCGAGAAATCATGAAATCATTTTATCCTTGGCGTGTAAACACACATGCACAAAGAAGAAGCACCATGCTTCCTCCAACTCGAGCAATCATATTTCCAACAATTTTAGGTTTCCTTTCAACACTTGCTCGACAAGAAAAGGCATGCACCTCCTCCCTCAGGTAGACAGACAGACCGACACGTTGTCTTAAGCAACAACCATTCTTTGATGTTGTCCCGATGAAATTGATGCCCACATTCGAGTGTTCCAACATCTTCTGCAGCTTTATAATCCTCCTGGCATATGCTACAAGGCTCTTCCTCGGCTTGACCAGCTCTCCCATTCACATACTTGTGTTGCTTCATATGGGCCATTATTATTTCTTCGCTTAGTCCAGTGCACACATCGGTTGCGTTCCTCCATTGCCAACAATTCCACCCAGAGAAATTTTAGTTCTTTAGTTTCTCATATATATTAGATTTGGTTACTTATTATGATTTGGTTATATCCATTATAGATTAGGTTGTTTTACATTATTACCAGGTGATTTTATGTTGTTTTTGTTCGTGTTTGTTGTTAGCGTTTTTTGGTTTGATTGAACGTGATTGAAGGTGTTTATGGTTGCTTCTGTAGGGATCTATGCATGCGCATATTGCGCACGCGCCTAGAGATTTTATATGGTTTGAGCTCTTTGTTTTTGGATTGTTATTTTTTGTTTGAATTCATTGTTGGGATTTTTTTGTTTGTTTGTTTGATTGAACGTGGTTGAATGTGTTTATGTGTTGCGTATGTTGGATTTATGTGTGCAAGTAATGCGCACGTGTCTGGAATGTTTTGATTATTTGAGCTCTTTAAATTTTTTGTTTTGTGGTTATATTTGTCTTTGTTCGAGTTTATTGTTGGGTCATTTTATTTTGATTGAATGCGATTGAAAGTGTTTATGCGTTGCTTGCGTAGGAATTTATGCATGAGCGTAGTGTGTGCGCTTGACAATTTTATGTTATTTGAGTTTTTTGTTATATTGTTTTTGTTTGATAAAATGTGATCGAATGTGTTATTGTGTTTGGCGTAGGGATGTATGCATGCGCATAGGGCGCTAGTGCCTGACTATTTTATATGGTCTAAGCGTTTTGTTAGGTTATTGTTATTTTTGTTCTAGTTTATTCTTGGGGTTTTTTTTTTGGTATGATTGAATGTGATGAAAGCGTTTAGGTTTTATGTTTGTAGGAATTTATGAATAAGATTTCATATTGTTCGAGATTGGAAGATAACACTAGTTTTGGTGGCGGCGAGCAGGACCGGTCCTGACTTTCGAAGGACCCGGGGCGGACATATAGGATTTAAACTTAAAACCTCAATATTAAATCAAATAAATTATATATATATAAAAATTATACACATATAACATAAATATATAATAGGCCCTGTTTACTATGGGCCTTGGGCGGACGCCCCTCCCGCCCCGGGCCCAGGGCCAGCCCTGGCGGCAAGGGAGGAGCAAACGGTCATAGTGGGGATATTGTGACAAGAGACTTCTTGGGGTCGATCTGACTATTTTTATTTTTATTTTTGTGATATATTTGATTATGATGATGTTATTGCAAGTTCGATAGGAAGATGTTTGACGAGAAACGATCCGAGCTGTTGCATATGTTTGAGTTTGAAGCAAGTTTTAGTTTTGATTGGGAAATTGCACGATTCGTGATCAAGAGAAGGGACAATGTTTATATATATCACCGTGAATCCTTTTGTAGCCCTTAATTAGTTGAAGTTGTTAGAAAATGATGATGGCATGAAATGTAGACAATATATTTTGTTTTTGTCTAATATAACTTGAATATATTAAATCAATCATTTATATGTACGTATAAAAGTATTTTGTAACTCCATAAATTGATATCATTCCAACTGTCAATCATTCATTAAACCATCAAATTGTGATGGAATTATTCCATCGCAACTGCATATTTTTCCATCACCAAATTCATTTTGTGATGGATTTTACATCCAAATGAAAACCGTCGCAAATAATTGGTTGCAATCCCCGAACGACCAAGATGGGTTCCGTCGCAAAAATTGAAATGGAAGTTGCAATGGAAATTCCGTCGCAACATTGAAATGGAAGCGACAATGGAAATTCCGTCGCAACATTGCATTGAAACTAATCTATTGTAAATTTCAACGAAATATTGAAATGGAAGCAACAATGGAAATTCCCTCGCAACATTGAAATGAAATTAAATCTATTGCAAATTCAATTACTTATTTACTTATTTTCACTAAAAATATCATATTTAAATTTATTTTTAATTTAAATATTTTAGTATTCTAAAAAACATATATTTTCTATAAAAAAAATTATAGACAATTAAAGAAAATAGATCCTAAAACACGTTGAAAACGTGCACACACATATATCGAAAGTATTTCCAACTATTTATGTGTCATTTCATTTGATGGTTTAATGAATGATTGATGGTTGGAATGATATCAATTTATGGAGTTACAAAATACTTTTTATACATATAAATAATTGATTTAATATATTCAAGTTATATTTGACAAAAACAAAAAATATTATCTCCATTTCATGCCATCATCATTTTCTAACAACTTCAACTAATTAAGGGCTATAAAAGGATTCGTGATAATATATATAAACATTGTCCCTTCCTCGAGCACGAATCGTGCAATTTCCAAATCAAAACTCAAACTTGCATCAAACTCAAACATCTGTAACAACTCGGATAGTACCTCATCAAACATTTTCCCGTTGAACTTGCAATGACATCAACGAATTTACCACAAAAAATAAGTCATATCGACCCTGAGAAGTCCCTTGTCACAATATCCCCACCATGGCCGTCTGCTCCACCCTCGCCGCAACCGTCACCACCGGAGATCCCGCCACCAAAACTAATGTTGTTTTCCAATCTCGACAGCATGTTGAGCTAATTACCAAATATATATATATATATATATATGAGATAGAACACAAATTAAAAAAAGTTAGGGTTAGGGTTTGGGTTTAATTAATACCTATTGATGCAGGGCGAGTTTCACAGTGACGGAATGAAATATTCAGGCTCAAAACAGTCGAGACCATTCGATCATAATCGCCCATGGGCGCGTACGATGATCGCTCGCTGCACCTGATTGGTTGCCACCATGGTCATGATTCCTCGAGAAATGCTGAAGGGCTCCCGAATAAGATGATGATGATGAGGAGTGTTGAAGGTGTGGTGTGATAGGTGGAAACTGATTTGGGGATGGAGACGAGGACTTCTCGTTGTGATTTGGTTCCGAGGGTCATTGGCTACCAACGTTGAAGAAGAAGCTTCTCTAAATGCTTTTTTTGGTCAATATATAATTTCTATTTTTTACAAATATTCAAACATGCACAAAATACCTTGTGGGTTTTGTAATTATCTTTCCTGGAATATAAACAGATGAAATTTTCAATGGTTAGGATTGCGATCAAAGAAAATCAATTCGAGTGTTCATCAATGTTGTATGAATGCACACTTCATTATGTTAATACATTTGAAGCTCAAACCATGGAAACTTAAGTTACTAAAGGGTATATATGTGTGTACATCTTACAAGTGTTTTTAACTAGTGCATGTTTGTATATGGCTGTTAATTCTATGTAATTGCATATTGCGCGTACATATGTCAAGCATGCTTATTCTTCTATAGATGAAAAGTATAAATCTACACGCGTGTACACATCTATTAATATCCAAGCTTTTTAGTGAGCGTGTGTTTACAAACATGTACAAACATTTTTCTACTCACGTAAACAATAAAGCTATGCCCACGTGTTTTACACGCGCTTTGCCTTTATATGCTACTTGCATAGATTTTTTGTGTGTAAATGTGCATAAAAGCATCTACTTGATAAGTACCTATATATATATATCGTACGATTGATGTAAAGTTATTCATATATTACATGGATGTAAATTTATTCATATACATTGTGTATATATGCTAACACGCATAAATAGAACGCATATATACCTCGCACGTGACGTATATATACCTTGCACGTGTACATCACGTGCTTATGTAAACATACCAACATGATAGGTGTTTATACATTATACATTTATAAAAATATGTGATACACTAAAAACATGAATTGATATATTAAGCGCGTCTACACCACATGTGTACACTAGGCGTGTGTATCCGATGCGCTTGTATAAACACATCGATACACTAAGCACTAGTACACCATGCACTTATATTAAATAGATTGACATCCCACATGTGTGGGGGCATAAATCCCTATACGCAGCACAATAACACATTGAATCATGTTTGATCGAACAAAAAGAAAAACCAACAATGAAACAATAAAACAATCTAACAATCTAACAAAAAACTAAAACAACATAAATTGGTCAGGCGCATGCGCACTACGCCAAATGCATAAATTCCCACATTTACACAACAGACGAACACCTTCAATCAAACAAAAAAAAACCCCTAAAAAAAAGAGCACGAACAAAAAAAAATATAAAATTACCTTGTAAACCGGCTTCCGCAGCCGCAGTAATACTCCTTTGTCCCACACGCTTCGCGGTGTGCCTCCCAATCAGACATCACGGCATACTTCTTCCAGCACTTGCTGCACTTCCACCTCTTCTCGCAGTGCTTCCGCCGGTATTGCTTTCTGATCCCGGTCATGTCCACCAACGCCCTCTCTGGATTATGGTGCACGCAGCTCTCCGGACAGAAGTACAGTGGCGGAGCCAGAAATATTTTTTAGCGGGGGCCAAAATTTTTTTATATAAACAATATATAATTATTTTAAAATTATACAATAATATAATTAAAAAAATTACAAATTACAAACAAATTTTTAGTTATTTTATCTGATTTTTTTTTCAAATATTTCTAAATATTTGAACCAATTTTTTAAATATTTGAGTTAAATATAAATAATAATTAATATTTTTATTAAATTTATAGGGGTGGCCAATTATTTAAATTTTAATAATTATACAAATACTACATAATAAAAATACAAAACTTAATTAATTAGGGGGGCCGAACACCCTTCAGCCCTCTACTAGCTCTGCCCCTGTAGACGTGCACCTTCTTCGGCGGCTGTGCGCTCCTACTCGCCGCTGTCTCATTCCTCGCCAAACTCACCGGCAGATTGAGGGTCTTTTTGTGCAACTGCAGATTCTGATCCCTCTGAAAACCCTTGTTGCAGATCTCGCAGACGTGTTGATTACTCGCGAATAGAGTTCTTGGCGACAACGCCACCACTTCTGAATTAGGATCTGATCCAGAAACAGAAAAATAAAACCATTATTGCATTACTAAGGT